TCACCCTGGCTGCAGGGGAGGTCCCTGCCTCACCTCCAGCCCCAGGCAGATAACTCGAGCCCTTGGTTTGGCTGCATGGGGACCCCAGAAACCCCTCCTCGAAACATGCACACAGGTGAGGGAGCAGAGGCTATGCTCTTAGGAAGTCAAGATACTTACCGGGCTCATTGGAAGCTTAGGGAATGCCCCCACCCAGGCTGCATGGCTCAAACGCTTCTCCTTGTGCTGCCCAGTCTCCCGGGTTGAGGCTGTTGTTCTGTTGTTTAGTCACTAAGTCACATCCAGCTCTGCGACCCTATGGACTGCGGCATGCCAGACTTCCCTGTTCTTCACTATCTCACAGAGTTTGTTCAAACTCATGTCCATTGAGTCAGTGATGCCATCCAACCATCTCATTCTCTGCCACCCACTTTTCCTCCTGCCCTCAATCTTTCCCAGCATCAGGGTCTTTTCCAGTGAGTTGGCGCTTCATATTAGGTGGCCAAAGTATTAGAGCTTCAGGATCAGTCCTTCCAATGAATATTCAGGGTTGATTTCCTCTTGAGGGGGGGATAGCGTCTCTCTTGCCAACCCCTGGGCAGTTGGGAGCATCAGACAGGGTTGATGGGATTGGGGATGGGGGGCCACTGGTGCACTAGGTATCCAGGTATCATCAGTCCTTCTCCAACTCCAGACACACCAGCCTCCTCCCAGCACTCCTCTAGGCAGCGGTTATACCCTTTTTATAGAAAAGTTCGGGAGGCTCCAAGATGGGGTATGACCATTCCACCTGATGAGCAGGACCAGAGGCCTGGCTCTCTGGCACCCAGTCGCTGGCTCTTCTCAGCCCCCTCCCTCGCCCCCAGCACCCTCTCCATTCCATTTGGGCCTGAGACCAGAGGCACAGTGGGGGGTTCAGGAGACTCCATGGCCAGCCAGTGCCTGCTGGGTAGAGAAACCATGCCAAGGGTGGTCCCCTGGCTCTGGTGAGGGGTGGAAGGCCTCACCGTGTTCTCATGCCCCAACCGGGCTGCAGATGGAGCAGTTCATCCAGTACCTTGATGAGCCAACAGTCAACACCCAGATCTTTCCCCACGTTGTGCACGGTTTCCTGGACACCAACCCTGCCATCCGGGAGCAGACAGTTAAGGTGGGTGTGGGCATGCCCAGAGGGGCTACCCCTGGTTTTCTAAGGCTCAGAGGGGGCTCATCAGAGGACACAGAGGCCTTGGTTTTGGTCTGTGGGTCAAGCAGGGTATGGGAGGGGCAGGTACTGTTCTGCGTGTGGGTCCTGGCTGTGGGTATAGCACTGCAGGTGCGGGGGGGAAGAGGGTGGGCATGGCCAATAGTCCTGAGTTCAACAGACATTCACGGAGACAGGAGTGCAGACAGGGGTTCCCCTTCCAAAGCCTTCTGGGTAAGGCCCAGGACCAGGTTGGGGAGGGCTCTGGCGGGTCTCCTCAGCACCCAGGGTCACTGGTGCCCTCCCAGAAGGCCGCCCCCATGTGTGGCACCCTGCCCGCTCCGGCCCACACTTTTGCTGTCTCCCGCCCTGCAGTCCATGCTGCTCCTGGCCCCAAAGCTGAATGAGACCAACCTCAACGTGGAGTTGATGAAGCACTTTGCGCGGCTGCAGGCCAAGGACGAGCAGGGCCCCATCCGCTGCAACACCACCGTATGCCTGGGCAAGATCGGCTCCTACCTCAGTGCCAGTGTGAGTGCCCTGCACACGTGGCAGGAGTTCTGTCAGCGTCACAGCCACATCCCCCAGGGCCAGGTCCCCTGGTGTGAGGGCTGTCACCCCCCCCCCCCCCCCCCCCCCCCCACACACACACACAGACCCAGGCCCTGGGTGCTCCAGTCCCCATGTCTGAGGGACAGAGTAAGTTGTGCCAGGTCACACAGCCGGTAGGTGGCTCCTGGAACAGATCCTAGGACTGCTTACCCCCTCGGGCTTGCATCCCTCCGGCTCACATCCCCTCCCTTCAGCCAGGGTCTGTGAATGCAGACACTGCAGCCTCCAGGCATTTAGCAGGAATGATTGAATGGGTCAGCAGGGCAGGCAGGAAGGGAGCCGTGGCCCAGCGCCGGGGCAGCTTCTGCTCTGGCCCGTCACTTTGAGCCATGGGCCGGTGATCTGGAAGGACAAGCCAAGATCCAGGGTTGTCGTTAGTGTTTAACTCACACTTGTTAGACTCTGGAGGCCCTGTGGTTGGCCTCTGTTGTGGCAGTTCTGGGCCCCAGGATGGACCCTATACTTAGGAGCCCTCTTCCTGCCCCAGACCAGACACAGGGTCCTCACCTCCGCCTTTAGCCGGGCCACAAAGGACCCGTTTGCACCGTCCCGGGTTGCGGGCGTTTTGGGCTTCGCCGCCACCCACAACCTCTACTCGATGAACGACTGCGCCCACAAGATCCTGCCTGTGCTCTGCGGCCTCACCGTGGATCCTGAGAAATCTGTGCGAGACCAGGTGAGGCGTCGCTGGGGCTGGGCCCTGGGGCTGGGTCTCTGGGGGTATCTGGACCCCAGCCGGCCTGGCAGGCTCACAGGAACCTCAGAGGCCCCAGCTCTGCCCCTTGCTGCCCCACAGGCCTTCAAGGCCATTCGAAGCTTCCTGTCCAAACTGGAGTCTGTGTCAGAGGACCCCACACAGCTGGCCGAAGTGGGTGAGTGGCCCATGCTCATGTTCCCTGTTCCTCTTGGCACTTTCTTGACTGTGGCCTGTTGTGGCCCCCGTCTGCCTCACTGGAGTGTCTGAAGAGCCGCGGGGGACAGACTGTACAGCACTCTTCCCACCTCCCATCTCACAGTTGGAAGAGTGCAGGCCTGGGGAAGGAGGGCACCCACTCTAGGTTGCTCTGTTTCAGTTAGTGCCTTCCTGTCACCCTCCCCATGGAGGCCTGAGGTGTCTGTACCTGTCTTTCCTGTCCCTGCCCAGAGAAGGATGTCCACGCAGCCTCCAGCCCCGGGATGGGAGGAGCCGCAGCCAGCTGGGCAGGCTGGGCTGTGACGGGGGTCTCCTCGCTCACCTCTAAGCTGATCCGGGCACATCCCACAGCTGCCCCGGCTGAGACCAATGTCCCCCAGAGACCTGCGCCTGAGGGTGAGAGTCCTGGACTGAGAGGGCTTGGAGTTCCCCCCCGGATGCTGACGGGGACACCCCCAGCCCCAGCAACCTCTGCCCTGTGCTGAGACCTTCCTGGGGCTCAGTGGGCGGGAACTCAGCGAGCCTCTGCTCCCCAGGACTTCCTGCCCCGGCTCCCACCCCTGTCCCTGCCATGCCTACGACCTCAGGCCAGTGGGAGACACAAGAGGAGAGCAAGGACACCGAAGAGGACAGCAGTGCTGCAGACAGATGGGACGATGAAGACTGGGGCAGCCTGGAGGTGAGTGGGGCTGAGGAGAACTCCCTCAGGGGGACCCAGCTTCAAGGTCACAGACTGCCATTCAGGGAGCTCACGTGGGCTTGGCTGGAGTCAGATCTGTCCTCATCTGCAAGTATCCTAAGCAGGAGTCATGGAGCAGCCACTGTGGGTCAGAGCCGACAGCTGAGCCCCATCTCAGCTCTAGAAATGAGAGGCCAAGGTGGTGGTGGTTGGGTCTGCCCCCTTCTCTTCCTCGCCCCCCTCCCCATCCTTCCTGTGTCTGTTCTGGGGCCCACCTTGCCCTTTGATTAGCAGAGAGAGGTTACCACCAGGCCTACAACCAACCTGTCCTCCCTGAGGGTGGGCTCAGGATGGGCTGAGGCCAGAGTGGGGCTGTCCTAAAGGGAATGCGGGCAGAGCTCCAGTCACCAGCAGTCTCTGCCCCTGAGGCCACAGGCAGGGGTGTGGAACTCAGGATCTCATTCCCCACCTCACAGAGGAGTGACAACAGGCCTGGTTCAGTGTGTTCAATTTATTGATGGGACACAGGGCCAAGGAGAAAATGAGATGGAAGACGAAGAAAGGGTAGAGCCCATAGCTGGGCAGAGACTGGGGGGCTTCCTTGGCCTTTCAGCTGGAGCAAGAGGGCTTTATTTGCTTTCCTCCCCACCCTGCAGCAGGAGGCCGAATCTGTGTTGGTTCAGCGCGATGACTGGAGGACTGGGAACCAAGCCAGCCGGCCTGGGCAGGTGAGCTGGTGGGACAGATGGTGTGTATGGGGGACGGGCTGGCCCCTGCTCCTCCCTCCCCTTCTCTAGCACTGTCTCCTTCTCTTCTGCAGGCCAGCAACCCTGGCCACAGATCCCAGGAGTCAGACTGGAGCAGCTGGGAAGCCGAGGGCTCGTGGGAGCAAGACTGGCAGGAGCCAAGCCCCCCGGAGCCACCCCCTGAGGGCACACGGCTGGCCAGCGAGTATAACTGGGGTGGACCGGAGCCTAGTGACAAAGGCGACCCTTTTGCTGCCCTGTCAGTGCATCGGGAGGCTGGGGCACAGGTACTTGGTGTCTGTCCAGTGGGAGGGTGCAGACCTGGGGTCCTCAGCTGAGTAGGCCTCCACTGCAGCCCACACCTCCCTTTTCAGTCAAGGCGAGACTCATGGGGTGATGACAACTGGGAAGGCCTGGAGACTGAGAGCCGTAAGTGTTTCTTCCCAGCCAGCTGGCTGATGGCCTGGGCCTACCCTCCACCAGGGCAGGCATGGGAAGGGAAACTGAGACCCAGGTTGTCCTGAAACCTTCAGCCCTCCCCTTCCTGTTCCCAGGACAGGCGAAGGCGGAGCTAGCCCGGAAGAAGCGAGAGGAGAGAAGGCGGGAGATGGAGGCAAAACGCGCTGAGAAAAAGGCAGCCAAGGGCCCCATGAAGCTGGGAACTCGGAAGCTGGACTGAACCGCGAGTGTGGGCCCTTCCCAGCCTTGGAGGCCCCACAGATGTATTTATTGTACAAACCATGCGAGCCCGGCCAGCCTGGCCAGGCACATCTCACATGTACAGAATCAGAGCCACAATAAATTCTATTTCACACCTGTTGTGCTGGGCTCAGTCCAGCGCCTCCAAGGAGGCTGGAATCTGGCACTGCCCTTTGGAGTCTGCGCCCATCATGGACATGAACATCAATTTACTTCGAAAACCAAGAGTAAAGAGAAACGATCTGATTTATCAGTTTCTGGGAAATGCCCTCTGGAAGGAAGGCCGGCAGCGCCAGAGACACCCAACATCTGCCTGTGAGCCAGGCGGAACCGGCAGGGGCGCCCTTGGAACATCGGGCGCGGGGAAGGGGTCTACGGGCCCGAAGGGTCCCTGGGTCCGAGCCCCGAGTCGGGGCAACAGCGAGAAGCCGAGCTCGCCCCAAGTGTTGGGCGGAAACCCCTCGGTGATTGCGAAGGTCCAGGCGGAGGGTGGTGTCAGCGGCGGCGCTGGGGCACGCAGGCTCCATGCGTGCGGCTGCGCGCGAAGCCAGCTTTGCAGACGCAGCGGTAGGAACCGCTCGTGTTCACGCAGCGCTCGGTCTTGCATAGTAACCCGCGCTGGTTCAGCTCTCGGCACTCATCGATGTCTGGAAGTGGGGGTGACAAGTGAGGACTTCACGAGGGCGGCCGAGCTGTGCTACCCGTAGGTTTCTGGTCCGAGCCGGGCTTCTGCAGGGCCCGCCCCCGCCCTGCCCCGCCCACCTGCCCTCTGGCCCCGCCCCCTCGGCGCGGCTCACCGATGCAGCGCGCGCGGGATGCGTCCAGCTGGAAGCCGCCGGGGCACTCGCACACTGCGCCGCCCGGCCGCGGCACACAGCGGCCGCTCACGCAGCGACACTCGTCCGAATCCTCCTCTGAGCTGTCCTCTTCTGCGCCGGCGGAGAGAATGAGACGTCAACACTGCCCCCGGCGATGGCCGCGGACCCGCCCGTCCCGCCTGTACACTCACCTCTGGCGGGCTTCCCCAGCAGCAGGGGACTCGTGTCCCAGAAAGAATTACTTTCACTCTGCGACGTCGGGCACTGGGACCCTGAGAGGGGCAGGGGGCGGTCAGCAGTCAATGGCTTTGATTCCCCTTGGCTCCCGCCCCCAAACTCCCTCCCGGCCATCCCCTCTCGGGCATGCTCACCAGCGCCGCGCGGCGGGCACGGACGGCACTGGGCTCCCCAGCCTCGGCCCTGGCGACAGCAGCAGTCATCGAAGGTGAGGGCGGGTCCGGCCAGGGGGCCTGCACACATGCCGTCGTCTCCGCGCTGGCCCCAACACACGTCCCGCCGCTCCGGGGCACGCTCTGCGGAGGAGGACCCGGTGTCAGGGAGGAGCCCAAAGCAGGGACCGCCCTCCCCCGCTCCAATCCACCCTCGTGGGAACGGCGGCCCCGGGCCTCCACGCGGCACACAGGGCTCTGGAGAGCCCAAGATGACCCTCGCCCTCACCGGCCGGGCTCTCGGGGCGCTGGCAGTCGCGGCCTGAGGGTCCGGGTACCCAGGGCAGGCGGCACTCGCAGCGGTAGGAGCCGGGCAGGTTGACGCAGCGGCCAGGGCGGCAGGCTGTGGGGTCCTGGCACTCGTCCACGTCTGCGGGCAGCAAGTGGATGGGTGGGGGTGGAATCACAGCTTGGCTCGGCCAGCTTCCCTCCCCTTTCCCCAGAGGGCTGACCCGGGCCTCACCCATCTCTTCTGGGCTCAGACATTGGCGCTGCACCGGGCTGTACTCGGCCGGGGGAGTGCAGGCACAGCGGTAGCCACCGCGCGTGTTCTCACACACTCCGTTCCGGCAATTAGACTCGTCCAAACACTCGTCCACGTCTGAGGGGAGGAAAAGCGCGAGTGGTAGGAACCGGCCTGGAGTCAGGCGATTGTGCGTGTCTCCTGGCTGCTTTCCCACGGCCACGGGGGCAGCTGCACTCACCCACGCATTCCAGCAGGTTCGAGTCGTAGTAGAAGCCGTGCTGGCAATAGCACTCATAGCCGGGCTGCGTGTTCACGCACTTGCCCTCCTTGCAGATCTCCGCCCCAAACAATATGCATTCATCGATGTCTGCAGAGCGACAGGCCGTGGGCGCCCGCACCCTCTACCTGCCGGGCCTCTGAGGCCCCGTAGCAGAGGACGTGGGGGTGGCGCTTACCGTGGAAGGGCGGAAAAGTCTGCTATGGCCTTTTCCCAACTCCTACTGAAGGTGGTGGGGCGGGGCTTGGCAGAGGGGCGGGGCAGTCGGTGAGAGAGTGGGCGGGCCTTACACCAGTACCCGCGATTGACAAGCAAGCACTGGAGGGATCAGGGCGGTCCAAACCAGAGGGCGGAGCGGGGCGAGCCAGGTGGGTGGAGCCATGTTGGGGCTTACCACGGTGGGCTGGGATGCCATAGTTGACAATGTTGTTGTCCTGGGTATAGCCCTTCCCGTCTGGGCAGAGGCTGTGGAACTCAGCTACGGGAAGACAGTGGCCGTGGGGAAGGAAAGGAGCAGGATTGAGCACGTGCGTGCTGGCCGTAGGGCCGGAGCTCTCGCCTCATTTCCCACCAACTCAGGAAGGGGCCCTCTTCCCCAGTCCGGTCCCAAATGAAGAAACTGAGGTTCAGGAAAGGGGAAAGGCCTGCCAGGCTCCTGACCTGAGCTGTAGACGGGGCAGGGATAGATCTCACAATGGTCTCCCCAGCCAGCCCCCAGCGAGCAGCAGCACTCCTGCTGGGTGACATTGGTGGCCAGAACACTGTCACAGAACACGGTGTCATCGAAGTTAAGGTAGCACTCCTTCTTGTGGTGGGGCTGCTCCACCTCTGAGGGGAGGGGAGAGCAGCTCAGGGTCCGGCACCATGTCTTTGCCTTCCACACTGCCCACCAACCTCTTCCCTCTGTGCCCCGCCATCGCCTGGCTCCCCGTAACTGCCACATGAAAGCCAAGCTCCACCCTCAGTGTGGCATTCAGGGGCCACCTGACAGAGCTGGTCCCGCTGGGCTCTCCCAGGCAAAAGAAATTTCTTCCTGTTCCTCATATTCCAGAGGGTGGGACCAGGTACAACTCTGAGTCCCAACTGCAGCATCTAGATTGAGGAGGGAGCCGAGAGGGCACTCACCCTCACAGCCGTGTTGGTCCTGGGTGGGTGTGAAGCCCTCATCACAGATGCAAACGTAGGAGCCCTGCAGGTTCTCGCAGACCCCATGGGGAAGGCACAGGCCTGGGTCCTGGCTGCACTCATCTATGTCTTCAAGGAGGAGAAGAGCAGAAAGAATCACTCAGAGGGAAACCAGCCCCTCTCTCCCTGGGGGTGGGCCTCAAGGGCCTCACACAAGCCGAGAACCTGAATTTCCACTTTGACTTCAAAGCACACACAACAGGAAAGCCACTCGTGTAGGTCTGTGCATGTGGGTAGATGTGTACACATTCAGTGCATTGTTCTTCAAAAACCCTAACAGAATGAAGCCCTGGCTCTCAGCTCAGCATCTGGGACTTTCAGTTTAGTCTCCCAGTATCTTTGTCTCATCACCCTTTGCTCTAAACCACTAACACCCTCAGCTCTATGTCTAGGCCACAGGTATCTACTCACCCTAAAAACACAACTAGCTCTGCTTCCAGATCTCTGTGCTTTGCAAATACTCTTCTTTGGGCCTGGTAAATACCATCCTTTGCTTTTCTCTGCTTAGGGAATCTACTTATGCTTTAGGGAAGCCTGTTTATACTTCAAGTTCCAATACAACTGTCACTTCTCTGTTGTAATTAATCACTAGCCCAAACCTCTTTTGGCACCGAGCACTCTGAATTGTAAGAAACAATTTACCCAGGGCTCTGTGCTAGGGGAGACTGTCTTCCTAGCAAGGAGCCCTGGGTTACTGCTCAGTATCTAGCATATAGCATGCTGCTACTGCTGCTAAGTCGCTTCAGTCGTGTCCAACTCTGTGTGACCCCATAGACGGCAGCCCACCAGGCTCCCCCGTCCCTAGGATTCTCCAGGCAAGAACACTGGAGTGGGTTGCTATTTCCTTCTCCAATGCATGAAAGTGAAAAGTGAAAATGAAGTCTCTCAGTTGTGTCCGACTCTTAGAGACCCCATGGACTGCAGCCTACCAGGCTCCTCGGTCCATGGGATTTTCCAGGCAACAGTACTGGAGTGGGGTGCCATAGCATATAGCATAGAACCTGGCAAATATTAGGTGCTCAGTAAACTCTTGTTGGATGAATGCATTGAGGGGTGAGTTGGCATATAGTAATAAGCATCATCTAATTACTGTCATTATTACTGTTATTATTTTCTGTGAAAGAGTAGGATGAATGAGTGAATGGATGGATGGATGGATGGATGGATGCAAAGAGATCAACAGTATGTCTAGGAGATGACTGCTTACTGCCATTGCTCTTTGGGAGTTCTCAGCCAATCCCCCCATACCTTGGCATTTCCGGCCGCCTACCAGCCGATGCCCCTGGGGACAGAGACATCGATAGGAGCCATTGGTGTTGATGCAATCACCCCCAATGCAGGCTGCAGGGAAGTCACACTCATTGATGTCTGTAGAGAATCAAAGGGGTGGAGAATCTCAGGGATAAAGCCCACTCACACAACCTAAGGCTGCCAATGCTTCTGAAGAGCCCTGGCTAGGGCCCACCCACCATGGCCCATCTTGGATCTGGATGGGGGCTGGCCATGGGAGTGGTAGGCTTGTTCACAGGTAGCCCCTGGGGTTGGGGTCTGTGCAGTGAAGGTCTGGGACAGGGAGGAACAGGCCAGCCCCCCAGCTTGAGGCCTCCCCTCACCCTCGCAGCGGCTCCGGTCCCTTGACAGATGGTAGCCAGAGAGGCACTGACACTGGAAGGAGCCTGGTGTGTTGGCACAGATGCCGTTGTCGCACACGTCCCCAGCCTCACACTCGTCCACATCTGTGGGGCACAGGGGCCATCAGAGGGCTAGGACGGGGTGGTCCTGGGTCTCTGCTCCCCTCTTCCCACTCCTGCCCATGGCCTGGAGCACCAGAGCTGAGGCAGGTGGAGCTGGGGACAAGCATGGGCCCTTCACCCCACCCCCGTGTGGCCCACCATGCCCTAATGACTGGGCCAGGTGTGGGCAGGAACCCTGGGCCATCTCTGGCTGCAAAGAGGTCAGGTCTCCCATGCCTCGTCCATTCTCACCAAACAGTCCTCCCCGTCCACTGCTCTCGCCCTTCCCCTCCCCTCTGTAAGTAAGCTCCCCTATATCTTCGTTTTCCTGGAATAATTTCTTCCGCTTGTGCGGCACGCTCCTGTGCATTCCTTTCTGGTGGGAGCTGGTAGTCGCCCACACCCCAGACTCCTTCCAAACCACACACTTCCTGAAGGACACCTGAACCCCACACCAGCCTCCCACCTCTCTGTTGCCATCAGCACCCACCTTCCTAGCGCTTCTCCCTTTCCCTCTCTCTTCCTCTCCATCCTGGGTGTTTTCAACATCCATCTGGCCAGCCAGACTCAGCCTCCGATCCAACAGTCCTCCTTCCCTCAGTGTCCGCGACCTCCACTTCAACGCCAGCCACTCGCTCTCAGTACGAGCGGCTGGGAGCTGCCCCCGCCATCCCCACGCCTGCTCCTTCCCACTGCCTCCGCTGCTGGTCTCCGGTGCCCTCCTCCACCTCCTCTCCCCAAGGGCCCCTGAACACCTCTCCTGCCTCCGCTCCACTCTGGCAAAGTCAGAGCCCTAGCCTGCTTCTCAGGGTGCCGGGTGCCGAGTGGGGCTGAGGCTGGCCACCACGCGGAGCACCAGGGGCTGCTCCACTCCGTGTGGCCTCCAGCTGGGCCAGATCCTCAGCGTGGCCGCACCGCCCTCTCCTCCTCCTCTCAGGCCTTGACACGAGGGAGGCCTAGGGAGCCCCCATGACCTTCAGCAGGTCCAAACTTGTGCCGTTCTCCTCAGCCCACAGCCTCCACCCCACTCGCTCTTCCTCACCTGCTGCCTCCGTCTTCTGGCCTCTCCTCAGGCCACAGAAGCTACCCTGCCAAGGCCGCCTTCTCGTCTCCCCGGTGAGTTCTTAGTTACAAGGACCTCTCTACTGCATTTAGCGCATCCTCCTCTGCCCTCGATGCCTGCCCTCCCCAGCTTCTCAGCTAGTGCTCCCTGGGCCCCCCAGATCCCCTGCTCCCCCATCTCCTGCTCCTATCCCCTGCCTTCTGCTGACCTGGCAGTGTCCACAATGCTCCCCTCACTGGACTCAACCTCCTTGACTGCACCCCAGAGCTCCACAGAGCCCCCTAGTGTGCACCCCAGGGCTCCACAGCGCCCCCTAGTGTGCACCCCATGGCTCCACAGCGTCCCCTAGGGTGCACCCCAGGGCTCCACAGCGCCCCCTAGTGTGCACCCCAGGGCTCCACAGCCCACAGTCACAAGTGGGTGTGTCTGGCCCAAGGCTTTCAATCTATACCGCCTCCCCTCTGTGGGCATCACCAGCTGAGAGACCCACAGGGACCACGCACTCAACTGTCCAACGTGAAACTTAATGTCTTCCTTCTCAAACACACCTCACCCCCAGGGACCCTATTCCAGTGAGCAGCACCCGCTGACTCACCCAAACTAGAAACCTGGAGACCCCTTACTTCTTTCTCTCCTTCACCTTGACATCCAGTTAACAAGCCCAGGTAACTTGTTTTAATATTTCTCTAATATCACATAGTCTCATGACCATCTTTGAGGCCACTATCATCACATCTGCCACTGTCTCTGTCCTGAGTCTCCACCATACCTCCAGTCCCTCTCCACAATGGGCATCAGGGGACTTTCTAGAACAAATAGCAAATATTGTCATTCTTCCCTTTAAAATGCTTCCGGTGCCTCCTAATACCTTCAGGGTGAAGTTCAACCTCCTGGGCAGGGCTTAAGTGGGCCCTTCAGGGGGTGAGGGCCTGCCCCTCACCAGCCAGCCTCAGCCCCACCGCTACGTACACCTTACTTTCCCTAGACACTCCGTGCTGGTGTTCACAGAGCCTGGCACGCTCCTCCCTCCCTCCTATCTTTGCTTGACTAACTCCTGTTGATCCTTTAAGACAACTCAGGCCTCGCCTTCTCCCAGTCCCCCTGAGGTTTCCCAGAAACACCCAGACTCCACTGAGACTGACAGCCCTGCGCTCTACAGTCGGTGTCTACGGTTCTCCAGTTTCTCTGACTCCCATCCCTCAGCCCATCTCCTGATGCATAAGAAACATTATTGTCGGAGGGGAGGGAGGGGACTACCCACACCCCCTTTTATATCTCTCCCACTCCATATTCAAGTAACTGTGCTTTGCAAACGCAGCTTCAAGCCTTGCCTCCTAAGATCCTTTCTACCTAGAAATTCCGCGGCCCCCTCCTCCGCCAGGTTGCGGAGAAAGTGAGTGGGTCAGTGAAGGGAAGGTGTCTGTGAATTAACTGTCTCCCGCCCGACAGATGAAGTGACTCGGTCCCCAACCTTGACGCTGGAGTAGGTGGCGGGAGGCAGGGCGGGGAGGGCCGTAGCTCACCCAGGCAACTGCGGCCGTCGGGCGCCGGCGCATAGCCTTGGGCGCACGTGCAGCGGAAGGAACCCGGAAGGTTCTCGCACCAGCCTGGAGAGCAGGGGTTGCCCTCGGCGCACTCGTTCACATCTGCGGCGGAGAAGGCTTGCCTCGGACCCCGCCCCACTGGACGAGGTCCTGTGAGGGGATGGGAGACCCTCCTTCCAGGATGGGGGGGGTGTCCCCCGCCCCCACGCGGGGAAAGTCGGGTTCTGGAACCGAAACTCCCACGCCAATAGCCCAGCCCCATCACCGGGGCAACTCCCGAAGGGCCCCGCCCCCACCCGGACCCCAGCCCCGCGCGCACCGCGGCAGGCCCCGCCCCCCTGGCTGCGGTAGCCGGGCAGACAGGCAATGCACTTGAAGCTCCCAGGTTTGTTCTCGCATTTGCTCTCCGGGCAGGTGCTAGGGTCGCGGCACTCGTCGATGTCTGCGCAGTAGGGAGGAAGAAGACTCGTTTGAGGACAACGTTGCCGGCCAGATGCTCAGGCCTCGGCAGGGCGTCCCTCTGTCACGGATCGACCAGGGGAAGCGGGCCCTCTGGGTTCCAGACCGAAACCTCCGAGAGGCCCAGGGCTGGGCAGAGACGGGAGTGAGGCCCTCCGCCCCCAGCCCAGGCCGAGGCACCACTGAGGACCCGCGTCGGTCCGGATGGGTCTTCCCCACCTTCGCACACGGGAGGTCGGGAGGCTTTGAGCCGGTAGCCGGGGTAGCAGTTGCACTTGTAGTGTCCCGGAAAGTTGATGCAGAAGCCGCCGTCGCCGCACAGGTGGGGCTTGGCGCACTCGTTCAGGTCTAAGCGGGAGGAAGGGCGCGCGAGGGGAGTGCAGAGCGGCGGAGGGGATGACACGCAATGAGGAGAGCCCCCGGGTCCGCCGAGCCCCGGGCCCGCCCCCGGCCACTCCGCGCTCACCCACACACGAGCGCCCCCCGGCGCCGACGTGCAGGCGGTAGCCGCGGTTGCAGTGGCAGTTGTAGGAACCTCCGGTGTTCATGCAGATGCCCCGCCCGGCGCCGCACGGCTCTGCCTCGCACTCGTTCACGTCTGAGAAAGGCGCGCGGGTTGGGAGATGTCAGAGGACGGTCCGGAGCCAGGGCCGCCCCCGCGCCACCCACTCGCCACGCTCACCCACGCAGTAGCGGTGCTGCGGATGCGACCGGTAGCCGGGATTGCAATGGCAGGAATAGTCCGAGGGTCCCGGGACGCACTCTCCGTGGCCACAGATGTTCTGGTTCAGTCGGCACTCGTCCGTCTCTGAGGGGGGCGCCCGGGGGAAGGGCGGCAGGTCAGAGCGGGCAGGAAGGGAGCATTCGCTTTCTGCCACGTTCCCAGGGAAGAACTGGACACCCCATCACTTTCGACGCCGATACCTGAGCCTGGTCGCACTATTATTTTAGATCTCTGTACAGCCATGCCCCCCCATCCTAGGATTGATTCCCTACACCTCCATCACAAATACCGCGACATCACAACCCCAAGTAGCCCCAAATCATGATCCCAGGTCCCCGGCATCCCCATCTCCCCAGTCCAGGACCCTTCATACTTCTCTCCTCACTTACTATACTCTGACTCCAATCACCTCAACATCTCAAACCCTGCAGCCTCAGTCACACCAATATCCTCTAGACCAGCGAACCAACACCCCTTGCCTTAGGGACCTGCCTGCACGCCCCCCCCCCCCATTCCAGAAGTTTTCCTCCCGCTCCCAAGGCAGGCAGGAACTGGTTTCCTGGGAGCCCTGGCTGACACAGGTGATTAGACCCAGGAAGCCTCCTTACCTCTTTCCTAGGATTCACAGTACTCCCTGCCTCCCACCTCTTTCTCAGGGGCCTCTCCCCTGAGCCCTGCCCCAGGAAGCCACAAGCAGCCCTGGCCTCAGGTTGAACTCCACTCCCTCCCAAACACACCTGGCCAGTGGGCTCTTGCAGGCTGTTCTCTCTGCTTAGAGTGCCTCTCCCTAGGCTCCTTAACACCCCGTCCTCTGATAAAGTCTTCCCAAGTGCCTCCTTCTCCACACTCCCACAGCCCCCAGGCTGTCACTAGGTTATCCCAGCTTGTGCAGATTTCCTGGGCTGCCACCTTCCACCAGGAGCTCATCTAGGCTCCAGTTTTCAATCGGATTGGTGGCTTCCTTGCAGCTGGAGTCCAAACAGCCATGGGCTTGAATCCGGCTCAACTGTGTGACCTGGGATCAGCTACTGAACCTCTCTTAGCCTCAGTTTTCTCATCTGGAAAATGAGGCTAACCGTGCCCACTTCACAGAGTACAAGGAAAGTAAATGGTATTTAGTATGTAAAACTCTCCAGTCAGTGCCTGCCCCAGGGCAACTGTTCAGCCATAGCTAGCAATTATTATGATGCCCCAAACCATGCAGACACTTCCCACAGCCTTTGGGATCAAATCCAAGCCTCTTAAAGCTCCCTGAGCTGGCCCTCTCCTAGTTCAGAAACACTGATCTATGTGTGGTGTCTCTCTTCTCCATGAAACCAGGGTTTCATGTTTCCATGCCTTTGCCCAAACTTCTGCCCAGACCGGAATGTCCTTTTCCCCAACCTGCTAGCCCATTTCTTTCCCACATTTCGTCGTTAATTTCTAACACTCTTAAAAGCTCTGTTCAGAAAGCCTTCTCTCATCGCCATTCTACACATGATCACAATACCCAGACTTCCTTCCTTCTTCTCTGATTTACTTTTGCATAGCCCTTATGAGACACACTGTGGCTCAGAGGTTAAAGCGTCTGCCTGGAATGCGGGAGACCCGGGTTCGATCCCTGAGTTGGGAAGACCCCCAGGAGAAGGAAATGGCAACCCACTCCAGTACTCTTGCCTGGAGAATCCCATGGAGGGAGGAGCCTGGTAGGCTACAGTCCATGGGGCCCGCAAAGAGTCGGACACGACTGAGCGACTTCACTTTCACTTTATGAGACACACTAGATTTGGACTTATTGATCTGTTTGCTGTCTGTTTACTCCACAAGGACAGGGAATTTTTGTGTTTTGTTTACTATATTGTCCCCAGCACTTACACAGTGCTTGCACATAGTAGGTGCTCCATAAATATTCATTGACTGTAAATGCCTTCAGACTGGCCTGACCACCACACCACCCGGATCAGTTGAGGGCAGAGTGGCGTCTCAGAGTGCTGCACTCCGAGGCTTCCCCAGCCCCCAGCCCAGGGTCGGGCACACAGTAAGCCCTTGACGGTGTTAGCCCTCCGGAAGGACTGGAGAGGTGAAGGAGGAGAAACCCTAAATTGGGGGCGTGGCTTACCTGGGGCGTGACCTAGGTGGGCGGGTCTTACCTGTGACTTGAGTAGGGGCGATTTCCACCGCACTGCGGGACGGGGGCAAGTCGGGCAGGAACTGGGGCGGCGGGGGCCAGGAGATCAGCTCTGCGGGCAGCAGCACACGACCATTAGCGGGTGAAGAGGCTGAGAGAGCCGCCCCTCTCCCCGCCGGTCACCGAGCCGGCAACTTCACACCCAGCTGCACCGCCCCCTGGTGCCTAAGCTGTGAACTTCCCCCGCAGTGACAGCCCTTGAGGACTGGTCCCTACAGAGCCCAGCTCACCCGGGTAGGGCCGGGCAGGAGATACGGTGACAGTCGGGTGGCTCTGCTGCGCTGACTGCTCTTCAATCACTGGCTGCGGGCGACAGGAGCATGAACCCTCTGTGTCTCCTTGGCCTCCCTGCCCCTCCCACCTGGGTTCTCATACTCACTGAGTCTGTGCTCACCCCTACAAGGGAAGAAGACGGGGCCATTAAGTGTTGGGCTGGGAGAAGGGAGTCAAGTCTGGGATTGGCAGTCGGGCATGTGTGGTCAGAGTCCCTAAGAGTTCAACGATCATGTCTCTGGGTCAAGCATCAAGGGTTAGATCCTGATGTCCGGGGATGTTTTCATCACAAGTCAGTGAAGTGATGGTCCTTAGCTTGGGAGGTTATAGCCAGGGTCAAATCCCTGGGTCAGGGGTCAGAGGGTCAGATCTAGAGGCAGCATTTGAGCTGCATTAGTGCCCTGATCTGGAAATCTAAGGTGTCCTGGTGTCAGAGGATTGAACCTGGAGGGCAATAAATGATCAAATCCCATGGATCAGGGGTGACATCTTGGGCTTAGTTACAACACTGGTTAGGGGTCAGAGTGTCAGCTCCGGGGGTCAATGCTGGTCTGGGACTAGGAGTTAGAGGTTAGACTCAGGTCCTAACTGTGGGTCAAGGGTCAAGGTGTCAGACCTAGGGGTTCTGCAACTGTCAGGAAACAGGAGGGATTGGGCCAGACCTCTCTCTTCCTCTGTGTCCTCAGGTGGTGGTGCCCGGCTGGGGCTCTCGGGCAGCTGCTGGGGCTTGGGTGGCCCATCGGGGTGCAGGAAAAGGGAAAAGTCACTTTCGCCCTGAATGGTGAGCGTCTGGTGGGAGGTGAGGATGTGGTACCCCTTCCCAGCTGGGCAGATCTCCTTGAAGGCAGCTGTGGCCAGAGCAAGGGGCAGGCAAGTGAGGCCTTCCTGGAGAAGCAGGCTCACAGACAGCCCCCCGGCCCCAAAGGCCCCTGGCTTACCAGTGCCATCAGCCGGGCAGCGCTGGCACCTGGCACCCCAGGCCTTGCCGACGCTGCAGCAGCAGAGTTGGCGGGTGAGACGTGTGGTCAGGGGGTGCTGGCACTGGTGTTCAGGGCTCACCAGGCGGAAACACAGGCTCTTCTCCTCTGGCTTGTCCGCTGCAGGGGCCAGTGATGGGCATGGGCATCTGGGCCTGAATGCTGCCCATGTCCCTCTTCTCAGCTGCTCCAGACCTCACCTCTCTGGTACAGGAGGCCTTGATTCTCGTGTGGTCCCTGACCCCACATGACCCTGAATTCATTTGATCCCTGAAACCTGTATTATTCTGATCTCATGTAATACTTGAAACTTCTGTGACCACTGAACCCATTGATCCCTGATTCTAGTTATTCTAGACTTTATCCCTCCCACTCATCAAGCCCCTGGTCTCATATGACTCTGCTTCCTCATAACCCATGACCCTATGTGACCTTTTACTCCAGATCTCATGCAATTCCCTGAACCCACTGATCCCTGACCCCATCTGCTCTAGATCTTGCTCCTCTAGCAGTCAACTCTTGACCCCACTCTGACCTCTGTGACCTCTGATCCTTACTGTTTGGAGCCTTACCCTCCCACCTGTGCTTCATGACCTCCAAGGACCCCCGAGTCTCACCAATGCACTGTGTGCGGGAGGGGCCCAAGCTATGGCCAGGTGGGCAGACACAGCGATAGGAGCCAGGGTTGTTGAGGCAGTCACCATGGCGACACATGCCTGGCATCGCGCACTCGTTGATGTCTGCGGTAATAAGTGAGAGTTTGGGCCCTCCAGGCTGGGTGACAGCGACCTGCTCCAGAAACCTCGTGGTTCTACCCGCCCCCGCCCCCCAAGTGACAAATGGCCCGTACCCTGGCAGTGCGTGCTGTTGAGCCTCTTGTAGCCCTGGGGGCAGTCAGCGCCCACCTCCCCACGTACAGGCCCTGGCTTCTGCACCCCTGTGTCTGTGGAGAGAGGACAGTATGGCAGGAGAGGCCATGGGGCTGCAGAGAGGGAAGGGAACGGCACTGAGGAGGGGAATGGGGTACTGACGGGAACCGGGTGGGAAATGAGAGGCTCAGGCTGCAGGGGGGAGGGACTGGGGGAGGGTGTGCCCCATGGGGAGGGGCAGAGATCTCACCGAGCCAGGGCACTCACACTGCAGCTGGGGGCACTTGTGGCACTTGCTCTGGCCCCAAGCGGTGCCGATGCTCCCGCAGCAGTCTTCCTGCTTGGTGAGGCCCGGGAGGGGGTTGCTGCCACACTAGGGAGAGGAGCGTGGACAGGGGTCACAGGCTGCCCAGCCCCCACCTGGCCTCCCTCCTCAGGCGCTTTTCCTCCTCCCCCGACTCAACCTGCAGGACCCACCCAGTTTTGAGCAAACCCGGTGGACTGGAACAGGGCGGCCCTGAGCGGCGTCTATGGGTTCACTCACGGGCTGCTTGGGCAGCGTGTCCTGGAAGCAGCGGCCCAGGGGCTTCTGGGTGGGTGGCCGGGGATGCGGGGGCTTGGGGTGCGGCAGCAGGTGCTGGGAGGGGGCCGGGCCCTCGGCGTTGGGCCCTTCGATGCGGTGCACTTGGACCGAGGCCTCGGGCGGGTGGTGGACTCGCACGTTCACCACGGGGGGCGGGGCCTGCACTGGGGGGCGGGGCACGGCAGCTTCAGGGCTTCAGGGTGGCAGGTGTTGGGTGAGGAGCTCCTCCAGGGCTGGCCCCCGCCCGGGTCCTGCCCACCCCCTCCAGTGCCCGCCCACCTCGGCCTCCCCGGGTCTGCCCATTGCCTGGTACCTTCCGCTGAGATCTGTCCTGGCCCGAGGGGCACCAGGAAGGTCGCATGCTGGGCAGGGGGCCCCTCGCCGGGCCCTGGCGGATCGGCGATCACCTGGACCGCGTACATGGCGTGCTTGCTGGCCACAGACTCGCCCTCTGGAGCCAGGGGCGGCAGCGCGCCCGTGGACATGGCGCCGGCCCGGCCAAGCCCAGGGCCTGAGCCGCCAGCGCCTCCGCCAGCTCCTCCAGCCGGCACCTGGCAGAAGCGACCCGTGAAGTCCGGGGGACACAGGCACTGGTTTCGCGAGGAGCACTGGCCGCCGTTCATACAGGGCAGGGGGCACACCACTGGGGAGGAGAGGTGGGTCAGGGCCCAGGCAGACCCCTGTGGCCAGCGTCCAGACCCAGTCTCTCACCCACATCCTGTCTCTTCCTTCCCCTCCTCCCTACTTCAAGCCACCCACTGGTTCTGTCCTCCCTGGGAAGCTGGCCTTAGTAACACATCAAACACACACACACGCTACCCTCTAGGTCCCCCAACATCCTTATACCCTAGGGGCCACTGGCATCTTGCACTTACATCCTAGCTAGGAGACCCTGTGCCCGCCGCGTGACCCTGGGTGACGGACTTCCCCTCCCAGGCCTCAGTGTCCTCCTCTGTAGGGCAGTCCCATCTATTAAATGAAGCGGGACCTGCCCAAACTCTGCACACTGCCTAGTACACAGAGGGCATTTACTAAGCAGTAGCAGCTGGTGATGACGGTGGTGGACTAGCCTTTCCCACCCCTTGGGCCTTTCCTGAACATTCAGTCCATCTGGTGCTTCCTTCCCCTTGCCCCTCAATCCTTCCCTGACCCAGCCCTCTCTGGCTCTCCCTCCTCCTGCTCCACCATCCCAGGGCCTGCACCTCGCCGCTGCCAACTTGAGCAGTGCCTCCCTGGGGCCCCTCTTCAGCAACTCCACCCAGGGGACCCTGTCAGAAATCAGCATTCTGCCTCCCCGCCTCTTCTTGGCCGTGAACCACCACTGGGATCCCTGCCTGCCCAGTCATTCATAACTGAGCTTTGAGGCTCCAGTTCCGGCCTCTGTAATGTCTCATAATCCATTTTCCCTCCTCCCCATGCCCCCTGCCCCTCCCCTGCCTGTTCACATCCCAAGCACCCCCAGAGAAACTTGCCTCAGGCTAAGTTCCGGCACAGCCACAGCCCTGCTCCCAACTAGCTTCCCTGCCTGCTCTCCGTGGCCCAGAAGGAACCTTCTTTCGGCCCATCCCGTCTGCTCTTTCCATATGCATCCTACGCTCCAGGACTCATCTCCTGTTTCCTACAAACGTGCCACGTCTTCTGCTTCCCTGCCTTGACCCATGCCATTTCTGCCCACTCAGAGCCTAGTCCCCATCTGTGCATATTCACATCATATCCTTCCAGCCCCTCCCCCAGGAGGAGAGCCTTTCCTCACATCCCACCCACCCTCTGCCTCCTCTGAGTGTCAGAGGAGGTGCTGGGGGAATGAATGAAGGAGTGAACTCAGGGAGCTGATGGGATATCTGTCTGTCTGTCACAGACTCACATCTGAAGTCCAGCCTTGGGGACCTGCGCTCTGCACCAAGCCCAGCCCCTCTCCGGCCCCTCCCCCAGGACTGCCCTCACTTCCCAGGATGGGGAGGTGGGGGTGCTGTGCCCTGGACACCTGGAGGGCCTCGGAGAGATGGCCCACATGCAAGGCCACCGGGGCCTGGCTACGAGCAGCCCAGCCCAGCCCAGCCCATCCTGCCCGGCCTCTGGGGGCCAGACTCTCAGGGCAGAAGGGGTGTGTCCTGGGCTAGGGGAGGCAGGATCCTCTCCTTCCTGCCTCCCAGTGAGTCACCCACAGTGGTGAGGGTGACCTCCCAGTGACACCCGCCCACTGTGGCCTGGGCACCGAGCCTGAGGGATGTGGGCAGCACGGATGGAGACAGCAGCCTGGGCAGGATGGCCAGGGGGCTTGGGAGGCCGGGCCCAGGGACACTCACATGCATAATCATCTCATCACACACACACATGCACAGACTGATTCTGACACCAACACAGGCTTACATAAACACTCCCATAGTCACTGCAGACATGCACCCAAGATAACACAAAGAAACCTGTGCTTGAGCCCCGTGTGCCAGCCCAAAGCCCGAGCATACCCGAGTGTATGCATGTGCAAGCACGCGTGCACACACAGGTCCACACACACACGAGAACCGTGCACCGCATCTGTGGGCTGCCTCAGATCTGTAGTGGCTATGTGAGTATCGGAGTGTGTAAGAGGGGCTGTTTTGCTGGTGCCATCGTGGGCCTGGCCTAATTACCCTGTCCGGGAGGGTAATTACTGCTGGGACACCTCCCCCAGCCTGGCCCACAGGGCCCTGGGGGAGGAGACTGAACCCCAGGCCTGGCCCTTTGAAGAGCGATGTTGGGAGAGGGGTGGGCTCCAGGTAGAATGGGGGAGTTTTCAGGGGCTGGGGGTTTGAGGGGAGACTCTGAGGCGGAACTGTTCAGAGCTTCTGGGGGAAGCACAGATGGGGCATCAGCAAAAGGGGAGACCGAGGACCCAAGCCAGCCCCTGCCTCCAGGCCTGCTCCCCACTTGTTAGGCCTCAACGCCCCTCCCCTCTAAGACCTCGCCAGTTACTAATTCCCTCACTCCCAGCCTGAGCCTGGCTCCTCCTCCCAGGGAATGCAGGTGTCTACCGCTGGCAGGCCCTACTTGAAACATTTTTTAAAGACTTTTCCTGTTTCTTCCAGAGAGTCTGTTTCTAGGGGGAATACTTAACCCTTCTCTGAGACCTGCGCCAGCTTGCATCCCCGCAAAAGCCCCTGCCTGTCGACCTCGACTCCCTCTCAGAACCCAGCACCTTCCTAGAAGCCTGTGCCATCCAGGGCGCCAGCATGACCCCACACCTTAGGCCTCAACCCCAATCCAAAGCTGTGAAGTTCAGGCTTCCACGCAGCCCTCCCCACTCCGGCCCCAGCACTCCAGCCTCTCAAGCCCCCGGAAGCCCCTGGGGCCGGCGGCCCTCCGGTTCGGCTCTCTGAACCCACGGTCGCCAGGGTCACAAGGCCTCTGTGGCCGTGTCTCCTGCGTGGGCTCCGGGAGCTGGCCTTCCCCGCGTCCCCTGCCCGCGCCCCCGGCCCTCACCCACGCGGAAGCCGGAGCCCGTGAGCGTGTCGGTGCTGTGGCCGTTCTCTCCGATGAGCGTCATGTTGGAGCCCTTCTGACAACTGTCCCGACACTGGCCCTTGAGACAGGTCCGCTTGCAGATCACCGGCGCAAAGACCACCTTGAAGCGCTCGCGGGCCAGCGCCCCGCCCCCGCCAGCGCCCCTCTCGCCCGCCGGCCCCCCCTCGGAAGCCCCGCCGCCCCCGCCCCGCGCATCTCAGGGGCCAGGCCGCCAGCAGCCCCACGGGGCCCGGGCATCCGGGGCCGCAGGACCCGGGGGGCGCGCCCGGGCGGGGGCGATGGTCCCGACGCCCGGGGGGATAAGCAAGCCGGGAGCCCCGGGAGAGGCTCAGAGAGGGCAGCGAGGGACAGGATGGGAGGAAGCGCGCGGGGAGGGGACTGCAGGCGCGGGCGCGGGCCCAGTGAGAGGCAGAGAGATGGAGGCTGGACCGCGGGGAGCCCAGAAACTTCCACCACCCCGGGAAGGAGCCCAGCCACAAGCCGGGGCCGGGGGCCTGCGGAGGCCCCAACGTGAGGCCGGAGAGAGGAGGCCGGAGCAAGTTGAGGCGGAGAGGAGGAGCGAGGGGAGAGGAAGGCCGGGCGGCCGGCCCGCTCCGCGCCTCCCCCGGCCGGGCTGGGCTCCCGCGGCCGCCGGGAAGCAGGGAGCGCGCGGGGCGGACGCAGGGAGAAGTGAGCAGTTGTTTTCCCTGGCTGGAGCGCGGCGCGGCGGCGGCGAGGGGGGCTGGGACGCTGGCCCCGGGCCAGGGAGACAGTTTTTTTCTGTTTAAAGCGTCGTCGCTGCCGCCTGGGGGAGCGAGGGTGTGCGGGCGGGTGGAGGCTGGGGGGGGGGGGCGGTCCCCGCCCCAGATGCCCGCCCCGCCGGAACCCGCCGCCGCCGCGCTGGGCCCGCTCCAGCGATCCCTCACCTGGGACCGCTGGCCGCCCCGCCGGATTCCTCCGGGCGGGGCCGGGAGGCCCGCGCCCACCTCTGCCCCGCAGCATCCAAGTGGGAAACCGAGGCTGGGGGAGGAAGATGGGCCGCGCCCGGGGGTCGCGCGGCTCATGGGAGGCCAGGTGGTGCTGGAACCCAGGGCTCCCAGCCCTGGCCCAGCCTCCCTTGCACATGCGGGGTCTCACCACCCCTCAGTCACTTCTCATGAGTACCGGTCCACCCCTTCACCAGGGCCTCGGTGGGGTCCCAGGAAGAAGTTCATGGGGCCCTGAAGAAGAGTAGATAGAGCAAAGTTTGAAATCTACCTTGCATGCCAACCCCCAGTAAATGGCTTCCCGGTGCCCACCCTGCCCCCGCCCCTTTGCCTTGTCTGGCTGGGCTGGCTGGGCTGGCTCTGGGCCTCAGACACTCTGGAATCGCCAAGGTCTGAGCTCAGGGCCTGGCCCCCTTCCCAGGCTAACAGCCGGGAGGAGGGGGGTGATGCCTGAGGGCCCCAGGGCAGGGGCTGGCAGGGACTGGGGAAGGGCCCTGAGTTGGGTCAAGGCTGGAGAGGAGCCAGGCCTGCCCACTGGTCTGGAAGGGAGGCCCTCGAGGGCTGCAGTGGCCTGGTGCCCAGGCCATATCACCGGGGGCCTGGCCAGGGGAGACCCCCGGATTCAGTCTCTGACTCACAGAACTCAGCAAGGGGTGAGTGTGACCAGGGTACCTCCGGAGCGGGTCACAGCCAAGACAGGGTGACACCTCTCTCCGAGGGGAACAGGGGTTGCAGTCTGAGGGAAAGGGGGTTCAGGTACATGACGAAGTACAGCTGTGTAAGGGACTCATGGCTTTGACTTTGAGGGTGGGCTTATTTGGGGTGACTGAGGGAGACTTTTTCGTGGACCCCTGCCCAAATTGCTCAGTGGGCTCAGGTCCTGTTCACATAGACAGGTGTTGGAGGCGTAAGATGGGGGCAGTCCCGTGTCCCCAGGAGAGAGAGGAGGGTGTGTAAGTATGGACCACCCCCCCACTCCCTGGAGGGGGTCTCTGGTCACACACTGAGGCCGGAGCGGTACTGATGCTCACCACCTGCCAGGCATAGGGCTAAGCATTTTCCAATCATTTTTCCCTCATACTCATCTGAACCTGGCCCTCCTCCACCACAGCAGGGTGTGACTCACCTTGGAACACATTATAAGCAGACCAGGGTTAGAGTCCTCATCTCGCTGAGCCTCAGTTTTCTCACCTGTAAAATGGAGATCTAGTCATTCAACAAACTAGGAACCTCTTGCGTGCTTTTTTTTATAAAATTAATTAATTAATTAGGCTTCGCTGGGTTCTAGTTGCAGCATGCGAAATTTTAGTTGCAGCGTATGGAGTCTAGTTCCCTGACCAGGGATCAAACTCAGGCCCCACACATGGGGAGCATGGAGTCTTAACCACCGGACCAGGGAAGTCCCCAACATGCACTTGTTAACAGGTAGAACCAATCGCTGCTTTCCTGGAGCTTCTGTCCTGGAGGAGACAGAAACGCAACAGATCAATTCACACCTGACTGAGGCTGTGCCAGAGGTTGGTGCTAAGACAGAGAAGAGGCAGGAGCTGGGAATGAGAGCAGTGGTGAGACCTGAGGTCCAGGAAGCCCTTCTGACAAAGGGACTTTTAAACCAAGAGCTGGAGGAGGAGCAGGAGTTAACGGGTGTGCGGTCTGCCCAGCGTGGGGGGAAGGCTGTAGGAGGCCTGAGGAATTGAGGGGAATCGTGGAGGGGACAGTTGACACTGTCATGCAGGGGTGGGGGGTAGGAAAGAGATTCATTTCTTCCAGGAGCTGAGACAGGGCCAGCGGAGCAACAGGGTGGGGAGGCAGAGAGAGAGCATCCGGAGGCGGAGGCGGGAGGCCACAGTGAGGAGTCTGAGTTTTATTTTCATCACAGTGGAACTGTATCAGAGTAAGAAGGGTGTTCTTGCTATCTTCCCAGGACAGACGATACAACCTGGACGCGGTAGAGATGTGTTTGGGGGTGGAATCCAGAGACTAGGTGAAGTGGAGGGTACCGGAGAGGCAGGTGGTGTGAATGCTTCCCAGGTGTCTGCCTGAGCCCCCTGGGCGGGTGAGGAAGGTGGCAGGGGAGGGGGAGACCCACAAAGGAGTGTGAGTTCTGTTTGCAACTTGCTGAGTTTGAGATAGAGCTTTCCTGGTGGCTCAGATGGTAAAGCATCTGCCTGCAATGTGGGAGATCGGGGTTCGATCCCTGGGTTGGGAGGATCCCCTGGAGAAGGAAAGGCAACCCGCTCCAGTATTCTTGCCTGGAAAATCCTATGGATGGAGGAGCCTGGTAGGCTACAGTCCATGGGCTCGCAAAGAGTTGGATATGACAGAGTGTTTGAGATGCTTGTGTTATCCAAGTAGAGATGTCTCAATCCAGATATGTGCAGCTCAGCCAGGATGCCTGCCCTGGAGACGCGGGCTCGGTGTCCTCAGCACACACGGGCATTTACAGCCCCGGGAAAGGAGGGGCTCTGCTGGGGAGGAGAGGGTCAGGGAGAACCAGGGAGGTCACCACCCAGGTCAGAGGGAGCAGGCAGAGTCTGAAGTGACTCAGAAGGAGCAGCTGGAGGAAGCTGAGGGAAGAAGACCAGGAGTATGATGTCAGAGAGCCCAGAGAAGCAAGTGTTTTTGGAGGAGAGCATGGCCAAGGGTGGCTAATGCTGCTGACAGAAGGATGGAGGTAAGGCAGCCTTTGTTCGGGGACCGCTGAGGGGGCTGAGTGACTGGGAGCCATGAGGGCCAGCACCCAGCCCCGTGCTTGGCACACAGTGAGTGCTCCGTACATTTACTTACTGTCATTACCAGACTCCTTAAGCTCATCAGGGCTTCCCTGATAGCTCAGTTGGTAAAGAATCTGCTTGCAATGCAGGAGACCCTGGTTCGATTCCTGGGTTGGAAAGATCCCGTAGAGAAGGGAAAGGCTACCCACTCCAGTATTCTGGCCTGGAGAATTCCATGGACTGTATAGTCCATGGGGTCACAAAGAGTCAGACACAACTGAGCGACTTTCACTTGCAAGCGTGNAGAAGGGAAAGGCTACCCACTCCAGTATTCTGGCCTGGAGAATTCCATGGACTGTATAGTCCATGGGGTCACAAAGAGTCAGACACGACTGAGAGACTCTCACTTGCACTTAAGCTCATCAGGGGCCCAGCCGGAAGCAGTGGACACCCTCATGTGGGTGATGAACATTAACTGAAGCCTGGAGCCGCAGAATCTGGAGCTGAAGAGGGGTGGGGGTGGGGAGCATGCCCTCGGGAGCCTCGGCCTTCCATGGACACTGGCTGTACCTGGCCTCCTGCAGCCAGCAGGGAGGGAGCTCTGGAAATCATATTCCTCCTGTCCAGCCCAGCCTCCCAGGGGCCGAACCCCAAAGGAAGCCGAACCCCAGGCAGCGGGGCTGGGGAGGCCACAGAGCAGGCAGTGTTGGCCTTGGGGCGTGAGGCCTGGCGGACACAGATGCAGAGTGGATCTGCAGGGCTCACTGCAACGGTCCAACCAGGGAGTGTCCGTAGCTTGTCCGCCTTTTCTCTCTGCATCTCCTGTGTCACCACACCCAGGCACCCCGCTTCCTAGAACCGACCAGCATGCCTCCTAGATGGAAGTTCTTCTGTAAGTCCAAGGAGACCATGACCTCTGTGCTCAGTCCAGATCACTTTGGCCACCTAACGGATCTCCACACTGCCATTCCTGCCCATTCCTCCTCCATCTGGTGCAGGTCTCACTTTTTAAAACCTGATTCCAGGACTTCCCTGCTGATCCCGTGGTTAAGAATCCACCTGCCCACACTGTAGTATTCTTGCCTGAAAAAAAAAACCCATGGGCAGAGGAGTCTGGTGGGCTTCCTAGCTTATCCAGACTGAAAAAAAAAAAAAGGATCCACCTTCCTGCCAATGCAGGGGACACAGGTTCAATCCGTGCCTGGCAAGAGTCCAGGTGCCACTGAGCAGCTAAGCCGGTGGGCCACAGTTATTGAGCCTGTGCTCTAGAGCCCAGGAGCCACAACTGCTAAAGCCCACACAGTTAAAGCCCTGCTCACAACAAGAGAAGCCACTGCAGTGGGAAGCCCGCACGCTGCAGTGAAGACACAGCACAGCCAAAAAAACCCCCTGATTTTCAGTGGGCTTCCCTGGCAGTCCACTGGTGAAGACTCTGCACTTCCACTACAGTAGGTCGGGTTTAATCCCTGGTCAGGGAGCTAACATCCTACACAATGCAAGGTGTGACCAAAAACAAAAACAAACTAATTCCAACCATGCTCCTTCTGAGCTTAAAAAACCTCAGCTTCCCTCTGCTCACCTGGCCTGCAAGGTCCTCTTTGCCTCCCTGTGAGCCTAGTCCTTCATGTCTCTAGTTCCTGCCTCCAGGAGGCATTTCTCTAAAACAGCTACCCCCAGCCCTTTGAGTCACATCCCCTGTTTATCTCCTGCTGGTCCTCGTCACAGCCTGAAGCATTCTTCTCTATGGCTTTGATTACTTATTGTCCACCTCACCGCCCTCCCAGGAAGCACAACCTCCAGATCTTAGCACGTGACCTGGCACTCAGAGGGCATTGAAGTGTGTTGACTGATTGAATGGACTGAGATGATGAGGCTGTAAAAGATGAAACAATTAGACTTGATTCATCTGGTGAGTAAGATGTGGGGATTGAATGTAGGCTGGCCTGATCCAAAACCCACACGGTGTTCCTGGGAGGAGGAAGGAGAGGAGTCCCACAGATAGTCTAAAAATAGGAGGGCGGGGCCCTGAGGGCAATAAGGGGCTTTGCTGGAACCGGGCAAGGAAGAGCCCCGGGATGGCAGCCCGAGGAATGGTCTGTTTGTCTCAACATCAGGGGAGGGCACCTTTGTGCAGAGGGCTTCTTGAGGCCCAGAGATGGCAGGGACTTGGCCAAGGTTACGTTACTGGGTCTTCCCAGGTGGCACTAGTGGTAAAGAACCCGCCTGCCAATTCAGGAGACACAAGAGTTGTAGGTTTGAACCCTGGGTTGGGAAGATCCCCTGGAAGAGGGTATGGCAACCCACTCCAGTATTCTTTCCTGGAGAATCCCATGGACAGTGTAGCCTGGTGGGGGTGCAGTCCGTAGAGTCACAGAGTCGGACATGCCAGGACTCAACCCTAGAGTTCCTGATGCTTCCTTAGGGGCATTGGCTGGACAGGGTGGCCCCAGCCTGTGTAATGAAAGTTAGGTTTCAGGAGGCAGCATAACACAGTGGTAGTTTTCTGGAATACCTGCTGTGAGCATTGGGAAAATTCTTCATCTTTTCTATCCCTCCTTCCTCATTTTCAGACAAGGAAGTAAAGCAGCTGACATTTACGAAACCCTTGGTGGATGCTGGCCACATGGTAAGTCCTCAGTATAGGTTACCTCTTTTTTCTTTTCTTTCTATCTTTTTAAAAAGATATTCATTTTTTAAATTTGGCTGCGCTAGGTCTTAGTTGCGGCATGTGGGATCTTTTTTATTTTTGGCATGAAAACTCTTAGTTGCAGCATGTGGGATCTAGTTCCCTGACTAAGAATCCAACCTGGACCCCCTGCATTGGGAGCGTGGAGTTTCAACCAGTGGACCACTGGTTAGCTTTTTTCATTATTATCTGGGCCTGGGGTCCAAAATAGGCTTGCTGGGAAAATCCCATGGACAGAGGAGCCTGTGGGCTGCAGTCCATGGGGTCGCAAAGAGTTGGACACGACTGAACAGCTGAGCACACATACTGGAGTCCAAAGTGGGCTGCCGGTGGGAGCTGGCTGCCTGGGAGGACGGGGAGAAGACCTCTGAAAGAGGGCTGACTGTGTGTCAGGCTCTGTGATACCTCTCTGAGTTGTGAATGTCTTTGGGAAGCTTCTAGGCTCTAAAGAAAGAAACGGCTGTAGGGGTGGTAGGTTCTAAAGGTGATGGTTGGAAATTTCAGAGGCCTGGAGGGGACAGTTCTGCCCTGAAGCATCTCTCTCCAAGTGATGTGGAGTGGCTGTCCCTGAGTCCCTCTGATGTGTCCCCATGGTGATGAAGAGCATGAGAGATGGGACTGGAAAACGAAACGAACCAGTCTTCATGCTTGATCAGCCAGAGGATCTTCAGCCCCACCCCTTGTCTCCACCTTCCGAACCCAGGAAAAGTCCACTGGTGAGAATCTGACCGTAGACTTGCAAGGCCTGGGTGGAGGCCCAGCCCTGCCCCCTCCCAGCAGGGTGACTGTGGTGAAATCTCTTAACCAGTCTAGGCTTCAGCTTCTCCATCTGCACTCTGGGGATGATGATAAGACACAACTCACAGCGCTGTCCTGAGGCTTAAAGGAGTGGGTAATTCAAGTTCTTAGTGCAGTGCCCAGCCCCAAGATAAGATACACCAAAAGTTCCTCTGAGAGGCTGCTGACACTGACTGCCCTTTGAGCATCCCCTGTGATGATGATACTAAAACAGGGACTAGGAGTTACTTGTCAACAGTGTGTAAGTTGGACTTGCATTTGTGTTTATTTACATGTCAGTTAACAAGCCTGAGAGAAAAGGACTTGTCTTGCCTCATTGGCACAGGTTCAGAAATCTCACATGGATTGTGGAAATAAAGTTTCTGTTGTGTTTGAAAAAAAAAATACACCAAAAGTTGAGTATTATTATTTTTTTATTAGGCTATTTCATTCATCTTAACTCAATTAAACTATATATATATTTACATTTTATTTATTTATTATTTCTTTCTTTTTTGCTGCACTGGGTCTTCATTGCTGCGCTTGGATTTTTGTTAGTTGAAATGAGCTGGAGCTACTCCTTCTTGTGGTGTGTGGACCTCTCACTGTGGTGGTTTCTCTTGTTGTGGAGCACAGGCTCTAGAGCTTGGGCTCAGTAGTTGTGATGCACAAGCTTAGTTGCCCCGTAGCATGTGGGATCTTTCTGGTGTGGGTGTGTGCTAAGTCACTTCAGTAGTGTCTGACTCTCTGCAACCCCTTGAACTGTAGCCTGCCAGGCTCCTCTGTCCATGGGATTCTCCAGGCAAGAACACTGGAGTGGGTTGCTATGCCCTCCTCCAGAGGATCTTCCCAACCCAGGGATCGATCCCACGTCTCTTACTTCTCCTACATTAGCAGGCAGGTTCTTTACCACTAGCGCCACTGGGAAGCCCAGGATCTTCCTGGAACAGGGGTCAAATCCATGTCGCCTGCATTGGCAGATGGATTCTTAATCCCTGGACCACCAGGAAAGTCCGAGTATTATTAGTTTTATTACTGTATCATCTAGCCCTTTCTTGTTTCCCAGAAACGTCAGGCCAACTCACATTGCAGTGAAAAACAATAAGAAAAGTTGACGCCTTTTGGATGCCTATTAGCCTGATGATACAGTAACGCCAGTTACAATGCTCAGAGCCATGGCTACAAAACATAGGCCGCCTGTTGTCACAAGAACCTGACCCACCAAATGCGGCAGTCAAGGAGGGCTTGTAACTGAGCTGTGTGTGGAGGTGCCCTGGTGGGGTGTGCTGTCTTCAGGGTCAGGCCTAACTACTGCAGTGTCCACTGTGCCCCAGGCATGGACAAATGCCGAGCTCGGCCACGAGAGGATAGGGAAGGGTCCCACTGCTTCCCAGACAGCTGGGCTGCCCACCGTGACTGCTCTGATTGGCTTTACCACCAGCGCTCCTGAGACCCATTTGCTTTCTTCATGTCAAGGACTGTGATGGGTCTGAGGTTCTACCCTACCTGCAAACACAAGGGAGCCTGCCACAGGTTTGTGGATGCTGGCAGAAGACAGGAGATTCCTGGGTCAGAGACAAAGGACCTCGTTATTCATGGCATAGTAAATAGCACGATCATCAGAATATTGACATTAGTCCTCTGGTTCCCAAGTCCTGTGGGGTGGCACCAGTGGCATGGGTAGATGCCTGCACACAGTGGATTGTGGTATGGGAGCAGGCCCTAAACTTAAGGACCTATGTCTTTTCTTTTTAGACAATTCTTGTTTGTTTCTGTATTTTTATGTATTTGGTTATGTTGGGTCTTAGTTGCGGTATGCAGGATCTTCATTGCATCATGTGGTATCTTCCACTGGGGCACATAGACTCTCTAGTTGTGGCACGTGGGCTCCGGAGTGCGCAGGCTCAGTAGCTGTGTGGCGTGAGCTTAGCTGCTCCATGGCATGTGGGATCTTAGTTCCCTGACCGGGGATCGAGTCTGAGTCCTCAGCACTGCAAGGTGGGTTCTTAACCACTCAACCACCAGGGAAGTCCTCCCAGATCTTTTCTAATGGGTGCCCTTTGCTCTAGAGGGAACGTCTATCTCAGTCTTACGTGGCTGTTCACAACATCCGTAAGAAGAGAGTCCAGGACAAAGGCAGTCAGTGCCTCTCTTGCAAAACGTGCAGAAACTCAAAAGGATCTCTGGAGAATTGTCTACAATAATATCCACCCCCATTTCTACACTGTCTTGGCTTTTGGTGAATTTTCCCACGAGTTCACCACTCTCTTGGCAAATCTGATCGATAGAAGCTAGGACCAAGTCTGTTCCATTTGTCACATACAGCATTTAATTAAAGCTACTATCAATAGGACTGCAAGCAGCAGGATAAAGCCAACTTGCAGTTCTGACCTCAGCCATGTCTCCCAGCTGAACAAACCCAGAAAACAATAGATCTACCTCAGAAAGCCAGGTGGCTCGCTCCTTAGTTCTTTGCATTACCCTTTCCACCTCGGCCCAGGAGGCCTTCAGGACAGTCTCTCTCAGTTCACTGACCAAGGTTGCTATGGATGATAGATTTCTTCCGAACTTCTTCCCTGCAGGCCAGAATCTGTGCATTAATACGTCTTCTGCAGGACTTCGCTGGTGGTCCAGGGGCTAAGACTCCACACTCCCAAGGCAGGGGGCCCAGGTTCAATCCCTGGTCAGGGAACTAGATCCCACGTGCTCCAACTAGGATTCCCGCATGCCCCCGTGAAGACAGAAGATCCTGAATGCTGCAACTAAGACTTGGCACAGCCAAATAAATAAGTATTGAGTGTTAGTTGCTCAGTCATGTCTAACTGTTTGTGATCCCATGGACTGTAGCCTACTAGGCTCCTCTGTCCATAGGATTCTCCAGGCAAGAATTCTGAAGTGGGTTGCCATTTCCTTCTCCAGGGGATCTTAGTGACCCAGGGATTGAGCCCAGGTCTCCTGCATTGCAGGCCAACTCTTTACTACCTGAGCCACCAGGGAAGCCTGAATAAGTATGGGGGGCGGAATATATATATATACACATATATCCTCTGTACCTGGATTAATGCTTTCAGTCATGCATGAGACAGTCCTTTGTCTCTGACCCCCAGGAGTCTCTGTCTTCTGTCAGCAAGCAAGAACCTGTGGCAGGCTCACATGTTAATTTGCAAGTAGGCTAAAGTCAAGGAGAAATTTCAGATCACTGTTTTCTAGAGAGGGGCACATCAGTCATATAGTCTCAAGGGCACACATGGTACTTCTGGGGAGTAGTTCTGGGGAGAAAAACAGTGCCCCCAGTTGGACCTACGTCAGTTAGGGGGTCCCAGGCTGACGGGTTCTCCCCTCAAGTTGGTGGGCCTTAGGACTCCCAGCCCAATTAAAATAACTGAGTCTAGGCTTTTCTTTTGGAAGGCTTGGTTCAGGGCAGTTAGTCCTGTTTGTCTAGGCCACCGGCCAGATGGCATTTATCCACTCGATGGCATGACTGAGTGGTGATGGCTACAGGATTGGGCCTGTGGACTTTATCTGGAGGTGATGGTGCTGACAGGTATTTTATGTGGGAAGTACTTGAGGGCAGGAGGAGAAGAGGGAGACAGAGTATGAGATGGACATGAGTTTGAGCAAACTCCAGGAGATAGTGAAGGACAGGGAAACCTGGCACGCTGCAGTCCATGGCGTGGCAAAGAGTTGGACACGACTTAGCAACTGAACAACAAGAAGAGCTGAGGCTACCTCCTGCTCTTTCCAGTCTCTTGGTAAAGTTAAGCAGAATGGCAGTCAAGTCAAGTTCAGAACTGTCTAGTGGAGCATGGAAGACCTAACAGTCAGTTAAATTTAAGCCACTTGAAAGAGTGGAACCAAGATGTTATCCTCAGTGAAGGAGGTTCCAGGTGGTTTAGAGAGACAAGAATGTTAGTGTCTTTCTTTCCCGCATTTCTCCCAAGGTCTGAGCTGTCCCCATCCCCAGGTGCCAAGCCTGCTCTTCTCCCTCCATTGCCACAAAGTCAATGTGCTCTATTCCACTGATTAGAAAGTCACCGTTTTTGCAGTCTCTCCTGGCTATACTTTTCATCTGGAATGATTGGGTGCAAGAAGGACTGGGACATTTTTATAAAATATACAAGGACTCACTATGTCTACCACTCCACATATGGGCCACTGTCAGGGGGACTCAAAGAGAGACAGAAGTGTGTGCACCAAGCCCTCTAGGGAGTCTCATGATCTAGACCCGTGTCAGTCAAACTAGAGAGTCCAGGTGGTTGAACCATAATATAGTGAGAATCCCCTCAGTCCCCTCCTTGCATTTATTTATTTTTAGTGTTTAAAATGTCTTTTTTGGCCACACTGGGTCTCAGTTAAGGCACACGAGGTCTTCATTACAGCACCAGGCTCTTCGTTGTAGTGCACAGGCTTCTCTCTAGTTGCAGTGTGCAGATTCTGTAGTTGCAACGTGTGATCTTAGTTGCATGTGTGATCTTAGTTCCCAGACCAGGCATCGAACCACACTGAAAGGTGGATTCTTCATCACTGGACCACCAGGGAAGTCTCAAGGCCCCTTTCTGACTGGGCTGTAATCCAGTGTTCACCAACCCTGCTGACCTGGAGTTGCTGTTAAAGGAAAGAAAGAATCATTATGTCCAGGAATGGTGAATGGTGAGCCCTTAAATGCCAAATCTGGTCTATACAAACCCCACCCGTCTCATCTTGATCATTATGAAGGACATGGCCTAGAGGAGATGGTCCTTTAGTGACTTAACTGCTGTACTGAGGTATGTGGACCAGGAGGAAGAGCCAGAAATCTCTTTGATCTAATTTCTGAGGAGCTGTTTCAACACTCAACAGTACTCCATGCTTGTGGATGATTAGGGAGAATGGAAGGACCACCAGATACCTAAACTATCAGCCCATTGTTGGTGGCTTTTGAGATGAAGGGTACACCACTGTTAGACTTCAATTGGTCCATAAAGCCAAGAACATTACACGGATTAGTCTCAAGAACCACAACGGTGTGACCTGACTTGACTGATGGATCTGAAACAGTACCACTGTAAAGTGAAAAAGTATGAAACACCATCCGTAGCCCCAATAAGGAGTCAAAGGTCCTGTGCCTTCAGTCTGTCAAGAGTGGGCAAGGACAATGCCACATACACTGTAGCCTCCCTCTTCGCAGGACGGAGATTTTGGCTGGAATCACAAATCTGGCATGAAGTGGCGGCCTCTGCATCAGAGGCACAGAGTCCTATACTTTGTGTCCACTCTGTGATGGGGGACGCGCTGCTGTATCTGGTATGACGATGGGCCCGGGCAGAAGTGGAGACAATTTGGGCATTGTGGGCTCAATCCACAGCTTGGTTCCTGTCAGTCTCATCAGAGAATGGGTCCTCAGCAGGGGTATCTGCATAAGTGATCTAGATGGTTTGATCAGCCATGATTTGTTTCCACAGTTGCCTGAGAACACTGCTGTCCAAAGCCCTCTACAAGCAGCAGGATTGTGACGTTATCTGTTTCACGTCTGGGGACTCCTTGACTCAGCAACCACAGCCACACTGCATTCCAGCTGGAGCTGCAAGGTTTACACCATTTGGCTGACCTGGTCTTGAGTTGGTCACTCTCACTATAGTTTTGGCATTTTTGTTGATCTTCTAAAGCAGTGGTCCCCAACCTTTCTGGCACCAGAAATCAGTTTTGTGGAAGACAATTTTTCCATAGCTGGGGGCAGGTGAGGTGGTTTGGGGATTATTTAAGAGCATTATATTTATTGTGCTAATGATAATCTGTATTTGTAGCTGATCCCCAGTGCTAGCATCACAACTTCAGCTCCACTTCAGATCGTCAGGCACTAGATTCTCATGAGTGAGCAGCCTAGATCCTTCCTATGTGCAGTCCATAGGAGGGTTCGCGCTCCTATGAGAATGTCATACTGCCGGTAATCTGACAGGAGTCGGAGCTCAGGCTGTAATGGGAGTGATGGGGAGCCACTGTAAGTACAGATGAAGCTTCACTGGCTCACCCGCTGCTTACCTTTGGCCATGCAGCCAGGTTTCTAACAGGCCAGGGACTGGTACCAATCCGTGGACAGGGAGTCAGGAACTCCTGTTCTAAAGAACTAAATTGTAGGTGAGTTGATTTTCTCTAATCTTTATTCTAGCTTTCCTTCTGTTTTCTTTGGATTTAGTTTGCTCTACTTTTTCTAGTTTCTTAAGGTAGTAGGTTACATTACTGATTTGAGACTTTTTTTTTCTTTCAAATATAAGAATATACAGGGATTTCCCTGGCGGTCCAGTGGTTAGGACTTGATGCTCTCATTGCTGAAGCCTCGGGTTTAAGGTTCAATCCTGGGTCAGAGAACTAAAATCATATGAGCCCCATAGTGCAGCCAAAAGAAAAAAAGAAGAAAAAAAGTAACACACAACTGTAAATTTACCTTTAAGCACTGCTGTAGCTCCATCTCACAAGTTTTGGTATGCTGTGTTTTCATTAATCTCAAAGTAGTTTCTAACTTTCCGTGTGATTTCTTCTATGACCCATTAGTTATTCAAGAGGGTGTTAATGTCCACATATTTGTGAATTTCCCAAATTACCTTCTGTTATGGATTGCTAATTTCATTCCAGTGTGGTCTGAGAACAGAGTTTGTATGATTTTAACCTTTTTAGTGTATTCAGGGACTTCCCTGGTGGTCCAGTGGGTGAGAGTCTGCCTTGCAGTGCAGAGGATTCAGGTTTGACCCCTGGTCGGGGGACTAAGGTCCCACATGATGAGAGCAACTAAGCCACACGACAGCTGGAGAGTCTGAGGGCCACAACTAAGACCTAAGACAACTGAATAAGCAAATACATTTTTAAAATAAGTGTATTGAGACTTGTTTTATGGTCTAACCTACAGTCTATCCTGGGGAATGTTCCAAGTATACTTAAGAATATGACTTCTGCTGTTGTTGGCAAGAGTGTTCTATAGATGTCTGTCAGGACTTGGGCTTGACAGCTGTGATTTTTCTTTTAAAGGAGACTGCCTTAATAGGGGGTATTTCTGTCCCACTGTCATAATAACATGTTATTTCTGCCTTGTTATAATAGAAGGACTAGGAGAGTTTTCTAGCTGGAGCTGATCACAAGAATTTATCTAGACTTCTTTGTGTCACCTGTAGCAGTACTATAAACTTAATATGAGCCCAAGCAGTAATCACTGCCTCACCTGTAGTTTCCTATGGGAGTTTGTCTGTCTCGAGGAAATTCCCCTAAGAGGGACAAAGCTCCTTTATAGCAGCCAGGACCCACTGTGGGGTGCGGGGTGGGGATGGAGGAACTGAGACCTTTTATTGTCATCTCAGAATGGATTTAAGATTGGCATGATAGACTGTAGAAAGAGCTAAGCTGTAAGATGGCCCAGCTGTTGCCATTCTATCTTACCAAGTATCACTTGCCCTACCCCTCATCTCCCAAGTGAGCCAGCAAAGTTCTAGTGATTCATCTATTTTTTTTGGTCCATAACAGAACTGAATTTCTGTGAGATGTTACCTTTCCACTCCCCAATCCCACCCAGGAGAGAGGAGTTGTCATGAGGAATAAATGAAAGGGAGTAAATGGGAGGATGAATGTAAGGGTCTTAGTTGAGGCCAGGTAGGATAAGCTGTTAAGTGGCTGTTGGTCATTATGATGACACAGAAGGATGCATTGAGGAATCTGGGGGTGAGAAGAAGCTGGGAGCTGAAGATAGTAAGGAACTGGAGGGACTGTGCATATAGGCTAGAGTCCAAGAGCCCCTCTAGTCAGTTTGGCAGAACCAACAGTCAGGTACACTGCTGCCCAAGAGCCTGCTGGTAGTTGGACAGAGCGACTCGGGGCCCAGGGCTCTCCAAGGAAGCAGGAGGCAGCAAGTGTCCAAAAATGGAAGGTCCAGGGAGTCTATGTAGGAGGAAGATGGGGCCACAAGGAGGGCACTCTAGCTGCAGGTAAAGCTGTGAAAGCATGTTCTGCCAGTCAGAGACAGACTGCTGAAGCGACTGTGGGAGTCTAAGTCCTAGTGCCTCCACTTCCCCGGAATACAGCCTTTGAGGCACTGCAGGCTGCACGTCAGGGGGACTGCTGCCTGCTCCACCTGGCTTCTCCAAACCTACTAAGGGAGAGAATGTGTATGGGGTAAAAAAGAGGGAGAAAACAAACAAAAAACCCCACTGGGGCCAATGTTTAGGAAGCCCGAGTGATTTTAACAGCAACCCACTCAAGAAGAGCATAATAGTTATGTGCGTGCTCTATCATGTCCTACTGTTTGTGACCCCACAGGCTGTAGTTTACCAGGCTCTTCTGTCTGTGAGATTTTTCAGGCAAGAATCCTGGAGTGGATTGTCATTTACTCCTTTAAGGGATTTACCCCACTTAGGGATCAATGCCCGGAGAAGGCAATGGCACCCCACTCCAGTACTCTTGCCTGGAAACTCCCATGGACTGAGGAGCCTGGTAAGCTATACAGTCCATGGGGTCGCTAAGAGTCAGACACGACTGAACGACTTCACTTTCACTTTTCACTTTCATGCATTGGAGAAGGAGATGGCAACCCACTCCAGTGTTCTTGCCTGGAGAATCCCAGGGATGGGGGAGCCTGGTGGGCTGCCGTCTATGGGGTCACAGAGTCGGACACTACTGAAGTGACTTAGCAGCAGCAGCAGGCGGCATCGAATCCACTCTCCCCTGTGTTGCCTGAAGATTCTTTACCACTTCACCACCTGGGAACCCCTATGAGGGTCACAGGCATGCATAACAAACCCCTCATCCCCACTCTCCAGCATGCGGCTGGGACCAAAACAGCACATGCCCAGCACAGCGATTGCCACCACCACACCACCCGACCCCTCGCCTCCATCAGCTGGCTTTTTGAGCGTGCCAACTTCGACAAAATAAAAAAAACCTGCTTAGGCGCTGACTGTGCACCAGTCCCAGGCCTTTGGATGAGGATGGAGTGGGTAGTGGGGTGGGTACACTGGAACACCAAACATGAAGAAGGGGAGGGGTCTTGAAATAAGCTGAAAGGTATAGACTTTGCAGACAAAGGCCCGTATTGTCAAAGCTATGGTTTTCCCATAGTCACGTAGGGATATGAGAGTTGGACCATAAAAAGGCTAAGCGCGGAAGAATTGATGCTTTTGAACTGTGATCCTTTGGACAGCAAGGAGATCAAACCAGTTAATCCTAAAGGAAATCAACCCTGAATATTCATTGGAAGAACTGATGCTGAAGCTCCAATACTTTGTCCACCTGCTGCGAAAAGTCGACTCATTGGAAAGAACCTGACGCCGGGAAAAGATTGAAGGCAAAAGGAGAAGCGGGCAACAGAGCATGAGATGGTTGGACGGCATCACTGACTCAATGGACATGAGTTTCAACAAACTCTGGGAGATACTGAAGGACAGGGAAGCCTAGCGTGCTGCAGTCCCTGGGGTCCTAAAGAGTCGGACACTACTTGGCGACTGAACAACTGACGGGGAGAACTTTCGTTTCCTGGCCTGCTTTGCCAGTTGAATGGCGAACGACTGAGGCCCGAGGAGCCTCCACGCACGCGGAAGGGGCCGTTTGTTATTATCAAGAGTGGTGCTGTGATGATGCCAACTGCCCCGCCTGTCGCGGATCCTGCCAGTGCGGAAAGGGAAACACCAGGGAGGTGGAGGCCAGCGGAGATTTCTCAAGCCAAGCGATCCCCTCCAACTGCGGCTGGAAGAGCGACCCTGCGCTGTCACTTCCGGGTCCTGAGACCTCAACGGCATTATCACGGAGTCGCCCCTCCTGATGCCCAGCCAGTCGAAAAGTTTTTGTCCACAGACTCCCACCGAGGCGTGTCAGTGGGATAGGGTCCAGACTGCGGCAGACACGCCCCACTCTGGGCATCGCGACGTCGGAGGAGTAGAGAGAGCGTCATTTCCGCCCTCACTCTCGGCCCGACAGGGACGGGCGGGGCAAGAAGAAGGCGCGCTCCTTGTGCGTCACTTCCGGTGAGTCTAGCGGCGACAACGGCAACATGGCCCTAAACGGCGCTGGTGAGGACATGGACTGCGGGGGCCTGTGGCTTCGTGGTTCGGGCAGCACCTTGCTTCAGCAAGACCTTCCGGCCCCTTGTGCCTCTCTTCCCCCAGAAGTCGACGACTTCTCTTGGGAGCCCCCGACCGAAGCGGAGACGAAGGTGCTGCAAGCGCGGCGGGAGCGACAGGATCGCATCTCCCGGCTCATGGGCGACTACCTGCTGCGTGGTTACCGCATGCTGGGCGAGACCTGCGCTGACTGCGGGGTGAGGAGATACTCGGGACATGGGATCCAGGCTGGGGCCGCGGACCAGGCCACACAGCCCTTTCCCCATCTCTTCCCTCTGAACCCCATCGCCCGTCTCACCCCTGCTCCCTGTGCTTTCTGGCCCCTAGACGATCCTCCTCCAAGACAAACAGCGGAAAATCTACTGCGTGGCTTGTCAGGAGCTCGACTCAGACGTGGATAAAGATAACCCGGGTGAGGGGTCGAGGGTGCTTGATGAAGAACTGTGGTGATAGAGGCTCAGGAACAGTACTTGGGAGGTGACAGTGGTATTTGTGGGTGGGGCAAGGGTGAGTTGCGTTTTCCTTTCTCCTAGACAGGACCATTCATTCAGTAAGAGCACTAAGCACCTACTGTGTGCCAGACACTAGAGCCTGAGCTTATTAGGCATAGTTCTGATGAGAGAAGGCCTTATGTTCTTTAAGCAAGGGCGTAAATACCTCTGATACGAAATAGAAAATGGATGTGTTCCCTTATACTGGGGCAGGGAATACGTCTCAAGTACAGAGAGCAGAACAGTAAAGGGTAGGGAAGTGTCTCAGGGCTGAGGTGGGGCCAGGTGTATCCTGATCATTCCACTGACTTTCTCCTTTTTTAGCTCTGAATGCCCAGGCTGCCCTCTCCCAAGCTCGGGAGCACCAGCTCGCCTCTGCCTCGGAGCCCCCCTTGAGCTCCCGGCCTGCCCCTCAGCCCCCAGTACCCCGCCCAGAACACTGTGAGGGAGCTGCAGCAGGGCTTAAGGCAGTCCAGGGGCCACCCCCTCCTGCTGTGCTTCCAAATGCGGATGTGGTGGCCTGCACACAGGAGGCTCTCCTGCAGAAGCTGACCTGGGCCTCAGCTGAGCTGGGCTCTAGCACCTCCCTGGAGACTAGCATCCAGCTGTGTAGCCTTATCCGGGCGTGTGCTGAAGCCCTGCGCAGTCTGCAGCAGCTGCAACACTAAAAACCCTTCCTGAGAAAAACCCTGTAGAAAAACAGCTGTTCCTCTTGTGTGGTTTGTTCTTTTTTTTGTTTCTGAGTGTGCATGCAAGTCCCAGCTCCACTTGTCTTTTTCCTACTTTTGGTCTTTCATGCTATCACAGTCTGGTCTCCTTGATGCCCTGAGAAATGAGTGGGGCTTGTTTCTGCTCAGTGTCCCCACTCAAAGGATGAGGTGGCAGAGGACTATGAGCTATTGTTTTTCTGGTGAGGAGGCCCCAACCTCCTCAAAAACAGAAACAGGAGGCGTGGATCTCTGAAGGAATCCTGGAACCTCCCCAGCCATCCAGCGCTATTCCCCACCCTTGAGAGAGATTTGGGGTTCCAGTCCCCTCGGTAGCTTCCCTTTCTTCCCCCAAGCATCCAGACACCTTCATCCTGTCCCACCTCAGGCCCAGACCAGGTACTCAGATACTGACAGGATGTAGTCAGGTAGGGATCAAGGATGGTCTTAACCTGTCTCCTGACCACACCCCATCCCTTTTATATCCTTTTCCTTGAGAGTTGTAATTGGCCGGAATAAACAAACAGTGTTGGAGGGGGAGGAACCGCACCCTCCGCTTTTAACCTCTTTCCTTCTCCTTTTTACCTGCTTCCCTTCCATTGGTGGCCAATGCCCTTTTCTCTGATCTCCTGGAGCAACGTGGTCGCACAGAGCCGTTGCCCTTTTAAGACAGGCCCCGCCCACGCGGGGGATGGGGGTGGGGCAGGGGCGGAGTCGGAGGAGTCCGGGTGGGAACAAAGCGCGGCCTGCGGGCGGCGGCTGGGCTCTGCTGGCGGGGCCACGGGGTGCGGGGCCTGCGGGCGGCGGCCCGGGCGGAGCGTTGGAGAAAAGGAGGCGGCATCATCCTCTTGTACCCGCCCGGCCATGAATGGGCTGCCCTCTGCCGAGGCGCCGGGCGGCACGGGCTGCGCCCTGGCTGGTCTCCCGCCGTTACCGCGCGGCCTCAGCGGTCTTCTCAACGCGAGCGGGGGCTCGTGGAGGGAGCTGGAGCGCGTCTACAGTCAGCGCAGCCGCATCCACGATGAGCTGAGCCGAGCCGCCCGCGTCCCGGACGGGCCCCGCCAAGCCACCGGCGCCGCCAACGCGGGAACTGCCGCGGGTCATCCTGGCCCGCGTCGCCCCATCAACCTCGACTCGGCGCTAGCGGCGCTGCGCAAGGAGATGGTGAGTAGCTGGGCCTCGGTCAGCTGGGCATTGGGGGGCGACGGGGCAGCTACCAAGCTAGAGAGTCCAGGCGCGGGCGGGGCGGGGTCCACAGGCAACGCGCGGTCTGGGTCTAGAGGAATAACAGAAAGAAGCCAGCTGGGTCAGAGGGGATACGGTAATAATTATAGCTATGTTTATTGGCAATAGTTACCATGCTTTACTAGTTAAATGCTTTACTAGTGTTATTTCTTTCCATTCTGCTGTCTTGCAGATAGGGGTTACTGACTTGCCTAAAGATTCAAAGCTGTCCACAGAAACCTGTGCTTGGGAAGATTGGCTTGGGTGGAGGGATGGCTGGCACTCCAACCCCAGCCCACTTTCAGTCTTTTGCAGGTGGGCCTGCGGCAGCTGGACATGTCCCTGCTGTGCCAGCTGTGGGGCCTGTATGAGTCGATCCAGGACTATAAGCACCTGTGCCAAGACTTGAGCCTGTGCCAGGACCTGTCATCCTCTCTGCACTCAGACAGCTCCTATCCACCCGACGCTGGCCTGTCTGATGACGAGGAGCCTCCAGATGCTAGCCTGCCCCCAGACCCGCCACCCCTCACTGTACCCCAGACACACAATGTCCGGGACCAGTGGCTGCAGGATGCCTTCCATATCAGCCTCTGAGAGCTGGGAGGGTGGGGGCATGCACCCATGAAAAAGGCTCAGAAACACCCCTCAGCAAGTACTCAGACTATAGTGCCTGCTTTCCCCCATACCACCTCACCTCACAGGAGGGCAAGGTCTGGGCTCCACGAAGGCAAAGCTGCCTACCCTCTCATGTCTTGGGTTAGCTGGCACTGGGGCGGGTACCTGGGCTATAGCCTCTGCCCATGGCACTGGACCTCCACTTGTCCCACCTGTGGGACCTCCAGCGTGGCTGACCTTCAGTCTGGCAGTGGGGTCCAAAGCACTTTCCTTGGCACCTCTGGGACTGGGATTGAGTGGCCTGGCTCCTGTCTCTTCACCTTCGCTGCTGTTGGCAGCTGCTGGCTCAGGGGCATTCCACCTCTGGCCCCTGGGTTCCACTGCCCTAGACAGGGGCTCTCCAGGACCCATTCCTGCACCATCCAAGGTCAAGAGGACCAAGGCTCCGTGCTGGATATTTAAGTTTAGGGGTCAGCCTCTTTGGCTCATAGATAAATAAATACTGTCTCAGCATTGGTGTGTTCTGACTGCTTAGCTCTGGGGCGGGAAGATAGCGGTGATTCTGACAGGTGCTGCCCCGCGCTCTGCCAGCAGGTGGCGCCCGAGACCCCGAGTTGGAAGAGGCTCAGCGGCGGCCGGGTGCGAAACCTCGCTCTCGGGGCAGAGTTGCCTGCCGATCGTTCCAAGCTGGCCCGGCGTGGTCTCGCGGTTGTGTGACTGCGGGCGAGTCACTTCCCCTCTCTAGCTGGAGGCCTGGAGCCCAACCAGCCTACCCACTCGCTTCGGGCTTTCCTGGCCGGCCGGGAAGGAAGGAGAAGCAGCCGCCCATCTCGAGGAGAGAAACTTTCCACCCCAAGTGGGGGCGGAGTTGAGGCGGCACAGGAAATGGGTGGGCCCGGGCAGGCGGGCCGGGCCGAGGGGGCCCTGGGCGTAAGAGGGGAAAGCGCGTCCTGGAAGGGCTGGGAACTAGTGACCAATGGGCGGGAGGAAAGAGTTGCAGAGGCAGAAAGGGATGGAGCCCCAGTGCCCGAGTCCCCCCTGAAGTCCAGGCAATCCCTGGAGGGGTGATGGGGCTCTAGGTTTCAATGCCTGAGACATACTCCCAGCGGCCAAACACCCCCATTCTCTGCCTGGCTCCCCCTCTAGACCTTTAGAGTTGTACGTAGAAGGCTTTCTTTTATAGTGGAGAGCCACGAGGCTGGGTCTAGCAGCTAAACCGGGGTGTCAGCTTCTTCCCCTCATTCCCCAGATAAGTCTGCATATTTGCGAGTGGTGGGTGCTAAGGCTTTCGCGCACACAATACCCCACAACTTCCTGAAACGAAGAGGAGAGGACCCCGAAGTTGCGCAGTTAGGCTTACCGGCTGGCTGCCTGTCCCCACGTCCACTGCAGTCACTTGCGCCCCGGACAGAACTCAGCTGACACTCTTGGCAGTCAGACGTCCTGTTCAAACCGAGCATTTATCAAGGACCAGGCTTCTGTCCATTCACAAACCTAGCAGAGCGTTTGCACTGACAGAGGGGACAAGCCAGGGTGCTGCTCTACGGCTGTTCTAACTCTGGGCCTGACACCTGCAGCGGTTCATGACCCAGCGGGCGGGCTGGCGATAAGGGCTCTAATCTAGGTGTGAACACAGCGGTTAACGCCCCGCGGCAGGCTTTCCAGGGGAGGGAGAGTAAACACACAGTTTTACTCTCCACCATAACGGATATCATCTAGTAAGACCTGGCAAAAATCAGCCAGGTTCCACACTAAATGCTTTCCAAGGTTTCATTCTCAATGGTGTTGTAAACGGTGCATCTATAATTATCCCTATTTTGCAGAGGTAAAAACTGAGGCTCAGGGCGTTGGTACTTTGCCCAAGGTCACACACTTGTTGGAGGTCAGCTGCTTGTGGGGTGTTGGGACTGCCTTCCCACTTGACAGCTGGAGAGCCAGGTCTGGAGGCTGGCAAGTGGGTGCTGCTCCATCGTAGGGCGACCGGGGTTGGCCCCTGACCTTGCTCCATCCCCCTCTGGTTAACACGTGGGTGGCAGCAGGAGTCTGTCTCCCCAGTTGAAGCCAGCTGGCTCTGGCTCAGCGCACTGAGACCCTTCACGTCTCTTCTCCTTTCTGGTCTCTATTTCCCCAGCCTGTAAAATGGGGCCACAGGTACGTACCTCGTAGGGCTGCGGGCAGGAAGGGAGGCGGCCGGGCAGCGCTCTCGCGGGCGGCACCAATTGCTGGTGGCCCCCTGCCCCAGCCCGCGCGCCCCTTACCCCACCCGCGCCTCCACACCGCCTCGGCTCGCAACAGGCGGACGCTGCGGTCTAGGCGTCCCCCTCGACCCTGCTCTCCCTCCCGCGCGAGGCCCCGGAAGCCGGACGCCTCCCGCCGGAGCCCCGCCCGCCTTCCGACGGGGGTGCGGCTCCAGGAAACCGCGCGCTCGCCGCTCAGCGCTCCAGCTACCCGACGAGCCCCAGACGACCCCGCCGAGGCGGCCAGATCACCGGCGGGCCCCCGCGGCGGCGGCGGCGGAAAGAGTGGCCCCCCGGTCCCGCGCCTCGGACCCCTCCGCACGGACGGGGCGGGCGGCGCGGATAGGATCCCGGAGGCCATGGGGACCTGGGCCGGGCCAGCGGTTGCGGACTAGCGGGAGTCCCGGGTCTGAGGAGCGGGCGGCGGAGCCGGCGGGGCCATGACCTCGGTGTGGAAGCGCTTGCAGCGCGTGGGCAAGCGGGCCGCCAAATTCCAGTTTGTGGCCTGTTACCACGAACTGGTGGTGGAGTGCACCAAGAAATGGTGAGTGGGAGGGAAGCCTTGGGGGACTCCCCAAACTGGCTGGGACCCCATCCGGGGGCCTGAGAACCCTGACCTCCGTCCAGTGGCCAAAGAGACCGCCTACTCCCCGGGGGACCCAGACACAGAGAAGGGCCCTGGCAACTCTGGGGGATCCCCAGAGTTGGGGGGCTGTGGGCAGCCTTTGGGGAGTGGAGGTCAGGACATCCAGGCCTGAGGATCTGTGTGGGCCCACACTTTCCTCAGCTGCTCTCAGAGCTGGGAAAAGGGAGGCCTCATATTTCTGGCCAGAGGGGTGGTTCAAGGTGGAGCATCAGAAAAGGGGGCAAGTTTTCAGGTCCGTGGGTGGAGGGCCTGGGACAACCAACTCAATGACCTCAGTCCAGCTCAGAACAAAGATGGTGCCCCCTCCTCCCCTGCCTGTTTGTTGAACCAGAGGAACCACCCGCCCCTTCAGCTGGAGTGGGCCCTGGGCGGCTGGACTCATCTCCATAATATCCTTAAAAGGGGAAACTGAGCGCTGGGTGTGATGAGGAGGGAGGCAGGCAGCAGCTTAAAGGGGCCCAAGGGTTTAGGACGTTGTGGGTCCCAGAGGAGAGAGCCTGGAGAAGGCAAGGAGGTGGGGTGAGGGGAGATGTGTCAGGGGATGCAGGACCCTAACCTGACTACCAAAGGGCCTGGGGGCATCTGGTTCACACGCCGCCACCCGCAGCTGCCCGGGTCCCTGCGTCACACCCTAAATATACGTGCTCCTTGGTGTCAGCTTCCCTTGGCTGGATTAAAGCACAGCTGTGGGGGCCTCACCCGCCAGGCGGGGCTAAATTTAGGCTCCCAAGAGGAGGGACAGGAAGGGACCAGAGGGTCCAAAGGGAGGGGAGTAAGAACATGGCCTGGGATCCCTTGGGCAGTTGTCATTCTCTGATCTTGACCGGGCCAGCCAGAGGGTGGTTGGTTAACACCATTCAGAAAGGCCCAGAAAGGCCCAGGAGCTGGCTGGGGTAACACAGCACCGGGCTGGGACTTGAACTCTGACCTGTGGCTTCTGCCTTCTGCCCCAGCATCCTGGGTGAAGCCTGGGGGATACTGGGCATGGTCACAGAGAGCTGGGTGAGGGTGTGGGCAGTGTCAACGTGTCTGAGTCACAGGGGGCGGGCAGGGCCTCCTGGACTTTCTTGCCTGGAGCCCTGGCTAGGAAGCTGCCCCTGCCCAGGTCACAGCTCCACAGGAGGGTGTGCCCCGCCTGAGTCAGGCTGCCCGGCCAGGCCCCGCCCTCCCCAGGCTCCCACAGTCGGCTTCCCCTTTCTGGGAAGGCCCCATGGCTGCCCTTAGCCATCGCCTGCACTGTAGGGTCCAGGAGGGGCACTGGGCTAAGGTGTGTGCCCTTGCCCAGCCCCTAACCTCTCTGGTCTCGGCATCCCCCGGAAGATGACAGGAGAACCAGTTATCCTGGCTCGGCCTCCAGAGGGGCTGTGAGCTGGGTGAACCTGCGCGTCCTGACATAGGACTGGGTGCAGGCATGGAGGGCTCTTGTGTTGCCCCCTCTGCCTGATGACCCCTGAGCCCTCCCCACCCTCTTGGGCAGCACTCGGCCCCTCCCTCCCAGGCCCAGCCCTGTGCCTGGCGACTCTCTCCTCTGGCTTTGTCTCTATCTCCCCGCATCTCTTTGCCTCTGCCCCAGCTTATGCTGTTCAGCTTAGATGTCACCTTCTAGACGTCCTCCCTGATGTCCCTTGTGGGAATGGGAGTCCCTGCAAAGTGAAGGGCTGGGCGTGGAAGGTCCTGGGAGGGTATCGAATGGCAAGCTGACCCTATGCCTCTCTGTTTCCCAGCCTCTGCCCCTCTACCCGACCCTACACCCGACCCTACACCTATCCCCATCCTCGGACCCTGGCGCTTGCCATCCCCTCTGCCTGGAGCCTACCTTCTCCAGACCCTCACACGAGCCATTTCCTGCTCCAGCAGGGTCTTGCCTCTCCTTGGTGTGGGCTGGGGTTATAGTGTGCACTCTACAAATATTTGTGAGTGAATGGACTCCTTTTACTCCAAGTTTGTCTCTTTCACTGTATCAGAGTCTGTGTGTCTTGCAGGTCCTTGTTGGGTTGCTGTCTTTGTCCCTGTGTGTGCCTGTCTCTCTGTATGACTTTCTTCATAATCCTTGTCAACCCATAGGCCTTTGCCCTCTGGCCCAGGCCTCACCCTGCCTCAGCTGCCCCACCCTGCTCCTTGTGGCCCCAGATAAGGGGTCTGTCCGGCCTCTGTCCTGGGGGAGGGGGATGTGGGCAGAAGGAAGACTGTGGATGAGATGGAGAGGCTGGGTGGGCCTGACTGAGTGGCCCCCTCTCCCCCACCCCTCGCCTCCCAGGCAACCGGATAAGCTGGTGGTAGTGTGGACCCGGAGGAACCGACGGATCTGCTCCAAGGTGGGGAGGATGTCAACTGGGGGTCCTGATTGGGGGTGGGGAAAGATGGGGTCAAGGTTGGAGATGAGGACAAGGCGTGAGGGGGAGCGTTAGGATGGAGGGAGGACTCAGACAGCTCCTTGTAGGCCCACAGCTGGCAGCCAGGCATCCAGAACCCATACCGGGGCACCGTGGTATGGATGGTACCTGAGAATGTGGACATCTCTGTGACCCTCTACCGGGTGAGTCTCCAGCCCTCCTGTGCAGAGGGGCAATGAGAGGGCGACTGCAACCCCAGGGGCCATGGGAGGTGGGTTATCCATCCAAATAGAAAAGAACAGAGGGGTGAGACCAAGAATCATGGCAGGGGGCCTACTCAGCCTGGGTGGCCCAGGAAGTCTCCTTGGAGGAGGTGGCATTTACCCACCACATGAGGGAAAGCTGGAATCAGGAGGAGCTGGGGAGCATACCTGCCAGGAGGGACCAGCCTGTCCGAAAGCCCCAAACAAACACCTCCTGAACTAGCGCAGGCAGTCCTCCCTGCCCCCAGCCCAGCAGCCCCTGTACTCACCAGTGCCCCTCTTCCCCAGGACCCCCACGTGGATCAGTATGAGGCCAAAGAGTGGACGTTCATCATTGAAAATGTGAGTGGCCAGGGTGGGCGGGAGCTTGGGGTCTCGGGGACTCCGGGGCAGCACTGATGCTCCTTCCCCTGCCCCCAGGAGTCCAAGGGGCAGCGGAAGGTGCTGGCCACGGCCGAGGTGGACCTGGCCCGCCACGCGGGGCCCGTGCCTACCCAGGTCCCGCTGCGGCTGCGGCTGAAGCCCAAGTCAGTGAAGGTGGTACAGGCCGAGCTAAGCCTCACTCTGTCCGGGGTGCTGCTGCGGGAGGGCCGCGCCACGTGAGTGCCTGCCCGCCCTCCTGGGTCCTAGTCCACAACCTCTGATGCCAGCCCTCACCCCTCGTCTCCAATCCGCAGGGATGATGACATGCAGAGCCTTGCGAGCCTCATGAGCATGAAACCTAGTGACGTGGGCAACTTGGATGACTTTGCCGAGAGTGATGAGGAGGAGGCCAATGGTCCAGGGGTCCCAGAGGCGCGGGCACGTGGCCCTCAGCCAGGTGGGCAGCCAGCTGGAGGTTGAGATCACCAAGACGCGGGGATGGGGATCACCCAGGCCAAAAATCCTCTTGCTGTTTTGGGGCAGGGTCAGTGGAGGGAGCTCACTGCTGCCAGGGCTCCCAGCCTGCCCAGCAGCCCTGAGTGTCCTGCAAGATGGGTTCCCAGTGCCCCCCACTCCATGCCCCCGACCCTCTCCTCGCCCTGGGTGTGCACCTGCCCACAAACCTGCCCGGAGACAGCTGGGCCAAAAGCACAGAGGGGGCTGCAGCCTGGTCTCGCCACCCTTCACCACACAACCTCATCCCTCTCTTCTGCTTGTTAAGGCTTTTTTTTTCGTCTGTCCATCTCTCTCTCTTTTTCTCTGCATCTGTGGGCCTGTCTCTTCTCCTAGGCCGGGGCGGTGCCCTGAGGCTGGGGCATTTTCCAGGTAGGCCCAGCATTCTAGTTGGGGAAAGGGGGGAGGGTAAGACCTGCAGAGCCCTTCCTGGCGCTGACCTTGCCCCCAACACCCTATCCCCAGAGACCCCTCGGGAGCTGAAGACACTTTGTGAGGAGGAGGAGGAGGGCCGATTGCAGCCCCGGCAGGCAGGTGAGGCCCAGGCTGGGGTTGGGGTAGGCCCGGGGTGGGGGGGCTGTGACTTCCGGTCCCAGGTCCCAGGCCTCAGCATCCTCTCTCTTCCTCCTCCCTGTAGCTGCCAGCCCTTCTAGTGCTGAGGATACCAGCCCAGCCTCTGTGAGTGCCTCTGCGCCGCCAGCCAGGGCCTCCCGGGGCCAGGGCTCAGAACCAGCTACTGTAGCAGGGGGCCAGGTGGGGCTCAAGGTCCCAAGGCCCCCCGGAACCCCGCCGGAGACAAGGTGAGCTTTGGAATCAGCTCCAGCCCCTCTCCCCCATCGGCTCCTCAGAAGTTGTACACCCCGTGCCAACCTGCCTTTCCAGGGTCCCAGGAGTCTGACAGGCGGGGACGGGGGCTAAGGGGAGGGGTGACAAATGAGCTCTTGCAGTGTATCCTTTTCTGCTCTCTCCTCAGGTCCTCAAGACAGCCAGGCCAGGACGTGGTCCCCACTCCGGCCCCTAGGCTCCGGAAAGGCTCTGATGCCCCCTGGCCCCCAGTCCACCAAGGAGAGGATGAGGCCCCCAAAGCCTCCGGGGCTCCCCCAGCAGGAGTGGATTCTGCTGTGGAGACCCAGGCTTGGGCAAGCCCTCAGGAAGGGACAGAGGCCCAGGGAGCGGGGCTGGGCCCAGGCATTGAGAACAGAGACTCCAGCAACTCTTTGGAAGGGCAGAAACCCAAGGCTGAGGAGGGGGGCACTGGAGACAGGGCAGAGGCTAGTGGGGTGGACACTGAACCTGGGTCAGGAGTCAGAGAGGTGAACAGCAAGAGGTCAGCGGTCAGAGCTGGGGAGGCTGAAGAGAGTTTAGAAATCGGTCACGTGGATGCAGAGCAGAGGTCAAAGGTGAAACCTGTGGACACTAACGGACCAGAGGCCACAGAGGTGACATCTGAGGCAAGATTCAAGGGGACTCCTGAGGCTCCTCCAAGGGGCTCTCAGGGGAGGACGGGGGTCAAGACCAGGGATGAAGCTCCCACAGTCCTGAGCCCAATGCCAGCAGATCCTGCAGGGCATTCCGGGCATCTGGGTGACCTCAAGGCGGCCAGGGCTGCTGCAGGCCAGGAGAGAGAGTGTGCAGAGGTGAGGGGCAGAGACCCTGGTGTTGGGGGGACAGGCCTGGAGCAGGGACCCTCTGCTGGAGCAGCAAGCGCTGGGCCCCAGGTGAGCCGGTACCAGGGGGCCCCACCAGCAGCTGAACAAGGGGTGGTGTCCAGGGATCTGAGGGTCTGGGAGGTAGAAACTGGGGATTCGAGGGTCCTGGGAACAGAGACTGGGGTGGCAGAGTCAGAGTTATTGGGGACCCAGGAGATCTCAGGGTCCCCAGAGATTGTGTCTGAGGCAGTAGAAGCGAAGACACTGGGGACCCAGGAGACAGAGGCAGTGAGATTGGGGGTCCTGGAGTCAGAGGCTGCTGAGATGGCAGGGTCTGAGGATCTAGGGACCCAGAAAACAGGGGTAAGCATTTCAGGGGCCTCAGGGACAGAGGGTGGGATGGCAGAGTGTAAGGCATTGGGGACCCAGGAAACAGAGGCTGGGGGTTCAGAAGTTCTGGGGACAAAGACTAGGATGTTGGAAACTGAGATATTAGGGACCCAGGAGATATCTGGGTGCTCAGGGATACTGAGAAGAGAAGCTGAGATAGCAGAGTCTGAAATACTTGGGGCTCAGGACACAGAACTGGGGTGTTCAGGGGTCTCAGAGATAAAATCCAACATAAGAAGGAGCCAGGAGACAGAGGTAGGGGGTTCAGGGGTCCCAGGGACAGAGACTGAAGTAGCAGAAGCTGAGATACTGGAGATTCAGGAGATTGAAGCTGGGAGTTCAAGGGCCCCAGAGATGGAGACTGAGACATTGGAGACCCAGGAGACAGAGGTAAGGGGCTCAGGGGTCCCAGAGATGGAGACTGAGACATTGAGGACTCAGGAGACAGAGGTAAGGGACTTAGGGGCCCCAGAGATGGAGACTGAGACCCTGAGGACTCAGGAGACAGAGGTAGGGGACTTAGGGGCCCCAGAGATGGAGACTGAGACATTGGGGACCCAAGAGACAGAGGTAGGGGGCTCAGGGGCCCCAGAGATGGAGACTGAGACCCTGAGGACTCAGGAGACAGAGGTAGGGGACTTAGGGGCCCCAGAGATGGAGACTGAGACCCTGAGGACCCAGGAGACAGAGGTAGGGGACTTAGGGGCCCCTGAGATGGAGACTGAGACATTGGGGACTCAGGAGACAGAGGTGGGAGATTCAGGGTCCTCAGGGTCAGAAGCTGGAATGGCAGAGGCTGAGGCACTAGGGAGTCAACAGACAGGAACTACAGTTTTAGAGGCTGAGAAGGGAAAAGTTCGGACTTCTGGGGTCCAGGAGGCAGAGACTGGACCTGGGGAGACCTTCAAATATGAGGCTGTAGGGGTCCCAGTCATAAAGCATGAAGTTTTAGGATCCCACGGAGCAGAGGCAGAAACTACAGTTTCAAGGGGCCAGGAGGTGGAGACTGGGAATTGGGGAGTTTCGGAGGCCAAGTCTGGGATTTGGGGGGCCAAGGAAGGAGAGATGGAAGTTTCAGGGACTTCAGAGAACCCATCTGGTATTTTTGAGGCCCAGGAAGCAGAGGCTGGGGTCTCAGGAGCCGAGAAGGGAAAAGAAGCTGAGGGAAACCTCCCAGAGGCCAGCCTGATGGAGGTGCAGGTGGCCAGTGGGGCAGGGGCTGGGGTGTCCAGGCCCTCCGGGGCCTCTTCCCCAGAGGAGCCTGAAGAGGACAGGAGGCTGCCGGGCAGCCAGGTAGGGATGGGGGCCGCCGAGGGCCCAGTCTGCTGCTTCCCACTAACCTGGGCTGAGCGAACGGCGGCTCTGCATGGACCCACCTGGCCAACTGGGGTGGGGTGGGACAGGGGCTCAGCTTCCAGGAGCCCCTTGCCCCCTCCCCTCTCAGGATGCCCTGGCTCCCCCACCCTGTCTCCCCTGGGCTGCATGGAGTAGGACCCCTCCCAAAGCTGATCTTCTGGGCTGACCTGGAGGTGTGGCTGCTCGTTACTTCTGTTCTTGCCTGGGGGCCACTGACCTTTTAGGTGACCTTGATAGATAACCCTGGAGCTGGAAACCTCTTTGCCTGATGCTAAAGCCCTGGCCAATGGTGTGCGGTGACTCCTGCAGACCCAGAGCTGGAGCTGTTTTGTGCCCAAGGGACAGAGGGGGCAGGTCCCACGTCCACATTCCCTGACCCATCCCTGTGTCCCCAGGCACCACCTGCCCAGGTCAGCTTCAGCCAGTCCCTGCTAGAGTGGTGCCAGGAAGTCACCGCTGGCTACCGTGGCGTGCGCATCACCAACTTCACCACGTCCTGGCGCAACGGTTTGGCCTTCTGTGCCATCCTGCACCGATTCTACCCAGACAAGATGTGAGCAGCCGGAGGGGGTGGCAGTGAATGGGGAAGCCTGCGGAGGAGGGGAGGGTGGCGGGAATCCAGCCTCTGACCAGCGCTCTCCCTGCAGAGACTTTGCCTCCCTTGACCCCCTGAACATCAAACAGAACAACAAGCAGGTGAGAAGGGGCAGGGCTGGTGCTTGGAGGGAAGGAGGGTCCAGCCAGGCCCAAGCTGAGATCTGGGATCCTCCTCTGTGTGTAGGAGAGTAATCTGTGGGCTTCAGAGCCCCAGCACTGGCTTTTGGGAGTTCTGCCACTTATTACCCTTTTGGTCTTTACACTGTTCGTTTTCCTGAGTTTAGTTATGTTTTTTTTTTAAAGCATATTTCCACCAGATGGTTTTCCCTGAAACCACCCTTTTGGTGTGCTGTTGCTGGGTAACACGGGGGCGGATCCTGTTGCTAGATTTCTCCCAATAGGAGGGCGAGGGCGCTGCGGGCAAAGCCGGGCGTGCCAGTCGCGGGGACCCCCGCGGCGGGCCGGGGCGGGGCGGCCGCGTCGCTGGGTAACCCTCCTGCATGCTCCCTAGGCCTTCGATGGCTTCGCGGCCCTGGGCGTGTCGCGGCTGCTGGAGCCGGCGGACATGGTGCTGCTGTCGGTGCCCGACAAGCTGATTGTCATGACATACCTGTGCCAGATCCGCGCCTTCTGCACCGGGCAGGAGCTGCAGCTGGTGCAGCTGGAGGGCGGCGGCGGCGCGGGCACGTACCGCGTGGCCAGCGCCCAGCCGAACCCGCCCGAAGGAAGTTCCCAGAAGGCTCCGGGAGTCAGCACTCAGCTCACGCTCTTCATCAGCTGTCAAGTGGGCTGGGGGTGCCCACCACCTCCCTGGAAGCTGGGAGCGGGGTTTCTGTACTCAAAGGAGCTCTCCAGGGCCTCCCGGCTCCAAAACTCTCTGACTTGAATCTTTAACTCCAGACGCTGGAGACCAGTTTCCTAGAGTCTACTCCGATGAGGGAAAGTTGGAGATGGGAGACCCTGGTGGGTGCCCATGTCCCCCCATCCCTTGCAGGTCTCAGGTCAGCCTCCCAGGGTGTCTTGCGGTGGTGGTTTCGTCGCTCAGTTGTGTCCGACTCTTTGTTACCCCATGGACTGTAGCCTGCCAGACTTCTCAGTCCATGAGATTTCCCAGGCAAGATTACTGGAGTGGGTTGCCATTCCCTTCTCCAGGGGATCTTCTCAACTCGGGGATGGAACCCGGGTCTTCTGCCTTGCAGGCCGGTTCTTTACCAACTGAGCCACCAGGGAATCTTGTGGCCACTACACTAAAAGGGAGACTATTCCATAAGGGTCAAGGGTATGCTCAAGGACTCACAGCTGCCGAAGTCCAGCCCTGGACTCTCCAGCAGCACCATCCTGGACAGCGGGGGCAGCTCTGTCAGGCTGCTTCAAGCCTTCAGCTGCCCAGGGATGACCCCTGAGTTCTAAGGAAAAGAGGGAACAAACTGGGAAAGGCTTTTTGGAAGAAGCAGCCACTTAAGCCAGGCTAATAAAATGGGCAGCTTTTCCCAGATGAAGAATCTGAGGGGTGGTTCTCAAGAGGTGGGACCTCACAAGTAAACATGAGGTCACAGGAAAGCTTGGGTCTTACTTAGGGAACTGCCGATCACCTCCTGTAAGATCACCTCCTGTAAGGTCACCTCTGGTGGGCAGTGATGAGGCTGGCCTGGAGAGCAGGAGCCCTGAGTGTGGGGTTGGAGGTGCAGCATTGACCCTATGAATGAGAAACAGGGAGAGCATCAGAGACACCCAGAGGAGCTGTGCTGGACAGCTATCCTGGGCTGTGTTAGCTTGTGGCCAAAGCCCCCTCAGTATGTGTCAATGGCTCTTTATATCTTAAAAGGGAAGGCTCTGTTACATTGTACTTGAGAGATGAAAAACTCCTGTTGTATTTGGACACAATTATTCTTATTAAAATACACATCCATGAGCAGTGGAAAAAGAAAAAAGGAAAGCTTGATTTTTCTGGGCCCAGGTCCCAGTGTCTGCTCTTCTAAGCCAGGCCCCTCTCCAGCCCTTGTCCCACAGGAGATATTTGACCCACGGAGCTGTGAGGGCCCGCTTCCTTCTTGGCCACTCCCACCCCCCACCCCGTGCATGCTGTGGAGGAAGTAGGGCCTGCCCCTGGATAGGGTGAAGTCAGGCAGCTTGAAGCTGGGGCGAGGCTGAGGCCAGGAGGCCCGAGTGCCTCTGGTGTGGCTCTACGAGGGCTTCCTGGAGGAGGGGGCCGCACAGGAGACTGTAGAAAGGGGAATTTGGGTCAGATGTGAGGAAGTGTTGGAATTCCCATCAGAGCAGCTGTGAGTAAGCTCAGTTGCTGCTGAGGTTGGGGTTTCTCCACTTTCCCGCCTCTGCCTGCCCTGTTGGTTGAGCACTTGCTTCCTGCCTGGCCTGCCCCGCCTCCACAACCCCTCATCAACTCCTCACCGACTCATACAGTGCTTCTTCTGGGGGAGAAACGTTTACCCCGTTTTGTAAGTAGGAATGTCTGGGCCCAGGGATGTGAGTGTAAAGGTAGTCGGTCCTGGGTGTGAACCCCCAGTTCCATGAGACGGAACTCCCAAATGGTGCCCTCTGCTGGGCCCAGCAGTATGCACTGGCTGCATGACCTTGGACAAGCCACCTCTCTGCGTTCTTTTCCTGAGGATAAGAAGCAAAGACATGAAAGTTTTTTTGCAAAGTGGTTTTGAGGGACCACTGCAGGGTGTTGTCAAAAAAAAAAGGGGAACTGTGTTTTTTCCTCACATGCCTGTCTGGAGCCCTGCAACCCCCCTGGGGCTTGTATGTCCTTTATGTACAAGGACACAAACAGGCCCGGTGGGTATGACTGGCCCAGAGGCAGACAGCAAATTGGTGGCCAAACTTGGGAACAGACTGTTGGATTAGACAGTGGGGCCCAAGCCAGGCCCTGTTTGAGTGTCATCTCTGATCCTTAGTTTCCTCATCTGTAAAATGGGGAAGGAAAGGGTCCCTGCCTCACAGTGCTGTTGGGAAGATGGAATGAGTCAGGGCACCCACAGCATCCAACACACCGACAGATGCTTGATGAACATCCTGCCATTACTGTTAACGCGGTGTGCCCTGAGTGTGTCCTCTGGACCCCAGCCTGTCTGCAGGGGCTGCCTCTGCCTAAGGAGACGGGAGTAGCCAGCAGTCATGGCGGGGTGGGAGTGGGGTTGGAGCTGTAATGGGAGAGGCTCTGGGGGCCATGGTGAGGATTGAGGAGGCTTCAGGAGGCATGAAAGTCAGGGAGGGAGGAAGAAGGCCGGGTGAAGGAGCCTCTGGGGAGGTGGGGCTGAGCTGGGTCATGAAGGGCGAGTTGACGTCTAGCCGCCCAAGAGAGAGGCTGCTCCAGGCTGAGGAAACGATTTGGGGAAGCGAAAGTCCACCACTGGGGCCGGAGGGTGGTGTCTGGATGGGGTTCAGGGCAGTAGGAGTTAATGTTGGAACTGCCAGCAGGCCTTGGCAGCAAGACTGGGGGCTGAGAAGGCAAGTGAGGAGAGTGACAGTATCGGGATGAAGGTTTAGGGAGACCCCCCCCTCCTCAGTTGTGGCCTGAGGGTAAAGTCAGCAGGCAGGGCGTGAGGCGGGGAGGGGGCAGCTGGTAAAGAGGCTGCCACCTGCCCAGACCAGAGAGGGTGTCCCCTGAGCAGGGCACTTCCAGGGCTGCGTCTCAGAGAGGTGCCTGGTAGGGTGGATGGTGGGTGGCTCAGCGCTTTCTCCTCACCTTGTGACTTGGAAAGGTGGCCAGAGCAGGAACCCTTGAGGGGGCCAGGCTATCAGCTGAGCTGAATGTTTGGGGCCTCAAGGGCTGACAGTGCCAGCAAGTTGTTGGAGCAGGGCATCTGAGGGGCCAGCTGCCCTTCCGGGCTAAAATCGGCGGTCCCGCCGCCTGTTCTGTTCTGACGGTCATGTGATACATCCTTCAGGTGTGGGGATTGAGGAGGCGGGAGGGGGACCCCCTTTTGGCCAGAAGATGGAGGCACTGGCTCATGATGGCCAGGTTCGCCTCAGCTCAGTGTCCCTATGTGGGGCCCGGCCATGATCGGAGAGGCTGGCGCTAGGTGACGGAGTCTGAGGAGGCCTGAGACAGCTCTCAGGAGAGGCCCCAGCTGGGCCCCTCACAGCCTTTCACCTCCGACCCACAAAAGCCCTGTGGGGCCCCAGGAACGGGGACTGTGAGGCTTGGCCAGCGGGAGTGGACTGGCCCGACCACAGGGCCTGGGGTGGTGAAGGCCATGGCCTTCACTCGAAAGCGGTTCTCCAGAAGGGGTGGAGGTGGGGTTCTTGACGGCTGGACTGAGAAGCTGATGGGGCAGGGAGGCCCCTCCTCCCCATGTGAGTGGGGCTGTGGCTGGCCCCTGGGCCTGCTGTCAGGGGAGCCCCTCCAAGCCCTTACTGGCCTCTTTCTCCACAGGAAGGCGCGCGCCCTGACCCCAGCCCTGCCCCTGGCCTTCCCGCAGCCTCAGCCCCACAGCAGCCCTCTGGTGAGTAGCTTCGAGGCGGTGGTGACTCAGCTCAACTCAGCTGGCTCACAGATCCTGAGCTGGGGCCCCTCTGGGGGCAGCTGTCAGTTGGGGGGTCCCTCAGCCTGGTCTCTGTCCGCAGGTGGGACACCTCCTTCGGAAGAACCGCCCCCAAGCCCAGGGGAGGATGCTGGGCTGGTAAGGAGGGCTGAAGTGGGAGGAGCTGATGGGTGGGCTTCCTAGGCGGGGCCTGAGCCAAACCCACCCTGTCCCTTGCACCCCAGCAACGGTTCCAGGACACAAGTCAGTACGTGTGCGCGGAGCTTCAGGCCTTGGAACAGGAACAGAGGCAGATAGACGGGCGGGCATCCGAGGTGGAGAAGCAGCTAAGGAGCCTCATGGAGTCAGGTGGGACGGGCGTCCTGAGTCCACTCGCCAGCACATGCCACCGCATCTGGCCCGCTCTGCAGCTGTTTCTGACCCTGGGAGGAGTCGGGAGGATGGAGGCTGGGGTCACTATCCCCATTTACCGCTGGGCATGCTGAGGCCTGCAGCCCGGAAGCAGCTTGCTGGAGGCACACACCTCTGGTTTCTGGGATACTCAAGGGAAACCACGCCCCCACCCCACCCCCAACCCCCTGCCGCCATCAGTTCCTGCTCCTGACATAGGGGTCAGGGGCTGGCCTGGTGACTGTCCTGGCCTGATTCAGGTACTGACAGGCTGCAGGAGGAGGTACTGATCCAGGAGTGGTTCACTCTGGTCAACAAGAAGAACGCTCTCATCCGCAGGCAGGACCAGCTGCAGCTGCTGTGAGTGCTGATCCTCCCCACTCAGGCCTTGCCTCTGCCCACCCAGGGCTGGCAGAGCAGTGCGTGCATGCTAAGTTGCTTCAGTCATGTTTGACTCTTTTCGACCCCATGGACTGTAGCCTGCCAGGCTCCTCTGTCTATGGGATTCTCCAGGCAAGAATACTGGAGTGGGTTGCCACGCCCTGCTCCAGGGGTTCTTCCTGATCCAGGGAGTGAACCCATGTTTCTTATGTCTCCTGCATTGGCAGGAGGGATTTTTTGTTACCACCTGGGCAGAGCAAATGCAAACTTAACTACCTTGATTAGAACTCTTCACTGCTTTTTTCTTTCTACAAAGTTGCGGTTTCTTTCCTTCCTTTTTTTTTTTTTTTTTTGAGAAATTGCTCAGCCATCTTAATTTTTTTTCATAACTTCCGGAGTAAAGTGTATACTTCTTAAATTGGTACTGTTTTTATGAATGAGAAAATTGAGGCCCAAAGAAAACTGTGGCAGGTTAGTGCTGAGTGCCCCAGTTTGACCCCATTCCTTTACAGTGAGGAACACTGAGGCCTAGAGACAGCTGAGCTGGGTTCCTGAGTGGGGTCAGAAACAATTCCCCGGGCATCATTGCCTTTATAGTCCTGCATGGTGAAGGTGGTTTTGCCTCCTTTTTGCATCTTGGGTCATTTTTCAGAATAAATTTTAGTCTAATATTTGCCATTTATGAATAATATTCATCCAAACAATCCTGGGTTGTTTCTTATTTTTGAAAAAGGGGTCGGTGGGGGGAGGAGACTATATGTTGGGGAACAGTTGAAACAGAAGAGGTACTTCCCTGGCCGTCCAGTGGTTAAGACACCCTGCTTCCACTGCAAGGTGTGCAGGTTCCATATCCCTGGTGGGGGAACTAAGATCCTATATGCCGCATAAAAAAAAACCTGAAACAAAAGAGATAATTCCAAGCTGGGACTGGGGTATAGCTCTGCCTGCCTATAGCATCTGTGGGAACTGATGGTGAGGTGGGGTGAGGGCCAGGGAGTGGTCGAGAACCCTGGACACTCCCGGCCATTCCCCTTTCCCTGACCTGGCACCCCACCCCCAGCATCGAAGAACAGGACTTGGAGCGGAGATTTGAGCTGCTGAGCCGGGAGCTACGGGCGATGCTGGCCATTGAAGGTGGGAGATGGGGCTGTGGGACCGGGGACCAGGACGGGGCAGGGGCTGGCGCCTCCTGACCCTAAGCCTCCTCTGCCCACAGACTGGCTGAAAACGGCTGCGCAGCAGCGCCGAGAGCAACTCCTGCTGGAGGAGCTGGTGTCGCTGGTGAACCAGCGAGACGAGCTGGTCCGGGACCTGGACCAGAAGGAGCGGACGTGAGTGAGCCCGGCATGCGCCGGAAGCTGGAGAGGGCTGGGGAGGCGCTGGGGAGGGGTGGGGGTGGGGCGGTCAAGGAGGAGTGCTCGGTCTGGGCCCCTGGCGGCGGCCAGCGTGTGGGCCCCGACGCCGCTGGGACTGACCGGAACCCGTTCCCTCCCAGCGCCCTGGAGGAGGATGAGCGCCTGGAGCGCGGCCTGGAGCAGCGGCGCCGCAAGCTGAGCCGGCAGTTGAACCGGCGCGAACGCTGCGTGCTGAGCTGAGACTGCAGGGGCCCAGACGCCTTCGGTTCTCTCGGACCGCAGCCTTTCTCGCCGCCGCGCCGGATCGCCGCTTTGGGCCTGCGCTCGGGAGGACCGGACCCTCCCCGGTGCGCGCGCGACCAGTAGGGGCCGCCGTGATCCTTTATTGGGAAAGAAAGCGCAGCCTTTCAGGCCCCGACGGACAAGGGCGGCCGCGCCGTCCAGGCCGTATTTATTAGTCCATGTGAGTGAGTGTGCGTGTATGTTCGTGGTGGACTGAGGGTCCCAGGCGTGCCCACCGAGAGCCCCTTCCCGATGGCTGAACCCGGCCGGCGAGCTCCAGGGGGTGGGAGGGACGGCTGGTGAACTGCCGCGCTCAACACCCCGCCCCCCTTCCTGTTCCTCGCGAGCAATAAAGTTGGAAAAGGCCACGCCAGCGCGCCTGGGCTTTCTCAGGGTGACCCGGGCTTTCAATAGACGGAAGTGGGTGGGGCCTTGGCCGATAAGGCGGTCTGCGATCCTCACTGGGACTGTGCAGAGTGGGAAGGTTTTTAGATGCCAGCCAAGGCGGGACCAGAGGCCTGACCTCTGCCTTTAAAGGATGATGGAGCTTGGGTTGTTGATGGCTGTAGGGAAGTCCCGTTTCGAAAGAAGAAACGATAACAGCCGGCTGTGTTGCCTGTTTTTTATTAACACATTATTTCCCGAGGTTCTCACATTCACCCCTTCCCTTCCCTCCTCTGGAGGCTTCCCCAGCCACTCCCCAGGGCTCCCTCCTCAGGCTTCTCCACCTGAAAGGAGCGCAGCTCCATCACCGACACCTGTCAGCAAGCTGGGGCCTGTACTGGGGCCGCCGCTGAGGGTGGCATGGTGCTCAGAGCCAGTTCGTCCTGGCCTATGATGGCACCTTCGTCCTCAGCATTCACAGGGCCGCTGGACCCGAAGAACTTCACCATGGCACGGACCTGGGGCAGCTCCGAGAAGGTCTCCACGGTCAGCAGCATGGCCAGGAGCCCCAGCAGCAAGTAACCTGAGGAGGGGAGGTTACTAGGGCAGCTCTCATGCTCCCACCCACCTCCCACCCACACAATTCTCTTCCCACTGCCAACTAAGACTCTGCACCATGCCCTGGGGCAGGGGCCTGTGAGACAGCCTCCCCCAGGGGCTTATGGGAGTTGTAGTTCAGGCTCCTCTTCCCTCCTGTCCTCCCCCCGCCCCCCATCCTCCTTAGCCGCTGAACTCACCCAGAAGCGCAAACTGGCCGAGGTGGTAAAGCGCCGGGTGCAGGCCACTGCCGCGGCCCGGCAGCAGGTCCCCCAGGCCAATGGTGCTGAGGGAGCTGAAGCAGAAGTAGATGGCCTCCAGCAGGCTGCAGTCGCCCTGTACACCCCACAGCACCAGTGCTGGCAGCAGCACGAAGACACCAACCACCAGCAGGCCCAGTGCAACTGCCTGCAGCAGCGCAGCCCCGGGCGGCGTCAGCTGCCAGCGGGTGGCTGCCCAGGCCCCGGGGCGGCTGAGCAGAGGAGCCAGGCAGTGGCGCAGGGCAGCCACAAGGGCTAAGGAGGCCGGCAGCCCCAGGGCCGCGTAGGCCACACAGAAGGCCTTTCCACCAGCTGATAGCGGGGCCATGTGGCCGTAACCTGGAGGGGAGAGAGCCGTGGGTAATGAGGACCCGGGTGGGGTCGCTGGCGCCCACTTCCCCGAGCCTTGCTCCTGCAGAAGGCTGCCCTCTGGTGGCCGGCACGGCCGGAACTATTCAGGCCCTGTTTGTGGGCTCTTCCCCTCGTTCACTGGGGGTCTTGGTCAAGTCCCTGAACCTCTCTGGGTCATTCTTTAATGTTCTGGAACATGAAAGGATGAGAAGAGTCCCCCTCAGGCTGGGGTAATTCTGAGAGCTTCTATCCTACCCTGAGGCAGCCTGACCTCCTGAGAGATTCCTCAGACTGTCTTTGATCCACACTTCCCAGTTCAGCAGGTGAAATGTTACCCAGTCTTTCATTCATTTCCCCAAAGGCATATCAAGTTACGCTGGGTGCCAGGCCCTGTGCTGGAACCTGAGTCTGCTCAGGTTCAGATGGGAGGCAGGCAGGAAAATCAGTCAAGACACCAGACATGGAGGGTTGCAAAAGAGGCAGCGTGCTTTTCAGGGGTGGAAAGGTATGTGCAAAGGCAGGTGAGGTGAAAGATCAGGGCCTGCCAGGGGAACAGGATCAGCTGGTCCAGGGCTGTAAAACGCAGATGCCTGGAGTCAGAAGTGAGCCAAAAGGGAGTGGTGGGGACAGGGGTGGGCTGGAGAGCAAGCATACACACTGTCCCAAGGGCGGGCCCTGTTCTCCAACAGGAGCTTCTGGCTCAGCGCAAGTAGGTTTCCAAGTTTCTCCAAAAGAAGGTGGAAAATGGACTTCAAAAAATACTCAGGACTTCAGTGGTGATCTGATGACTAAGATTCCGTGCTCCCAATGCAGGGGGCCGGGTTCAATTCCTGGTCAGGGAACTGGACCTCACGTGCCACAACTAAAGATACCAGAATGAAGATCCAAGATTCTGGGTGTTGCAACTAAGACCCAGTGCAGCCTAGATAAATAAATGAATTTCACATACTTTACAGGGCAAGCACCGCACTCCCACCCCCAGCCCCCCCACTTCCTGGGCTCTGGGCCTTCACACTTGTTTCCTCTGCCAGGAATTTCTTTGTGTCTGTCTCCGTGCACTCTTGCCTGGGCTAACGTCTCATTAGCTAACATCCTCCCCCCATACTCCTCCTGGGTTGGTGGTCCCTGGGTTCTCTCCATTTCCCTCTATCCAAGAATCCATCCCACAGCACAGGCTCCCCAGTCTCTGCCTCAGGCCTGTGGGGTCTGGGCACCTCCCCTGGGTTTCACAGCTGCCTGGGGGTGGGGCTGAGGAGGCCACGCCCCCTGGCACCTGAAGTTGAGGCACCAGTTGGGGTGTTTTGGTGGGGGGAGCCCCAGCCCTGATGACAGGCCTAATGAGGACTGGGTTCTGTCTAGCAGTTTGGGGCCTGGAGAGGGCTGCACCCTCAGGGACCCCAGGTAGGGACGGCCTCGAGAGCGCCTTCCTGCCGGGCCGCCGGGCCGCCTTACCCGTGGTGGTGAGGAGGCTGGCAGTGAAGAGCAGGGCTGAGGGCAGATCCCAGTTCCTGGCCTCGGAGTCATTGCCCAGGCTGGAAACCCCATGGGCCTGGGCTACCAGGGCGGTGCCCAGCAGCTCTTCCAGCGCCCCAGGTGGCAGGCAGTCTCCGAACTCTGCCTGAAAGGTGGCCAGCTCGGCCCTGAGGTTAGCCTGGAGCCGAAGGGCTGGAGGCCCCTCCAGGGCTTGGAGCACTGTGGCCCCAAGCCCCAAGGCCAGCAGGTGGGCCACAGCCAGTAGCCCGTATCGGGCCCAGGGCCTTAGAGCCCCCATGGTATGCCACCAGAGTCCGTCAGAGGTGCCCTGGGAGCCAACTCTCTACCACAGGCACCTGGGAGGGGCTGGGCAGGGTGGGGCTGGGGGGAGGGGCTGCGTGGGTGGCTGGAGAGGGAAGGAAGCCTGGGATGGAGCTGGGGTGAGTAGGGCCAGGAGGGTGAGGCTGCGGCTCAGGTTTGGGAAGGAGCTGGGTCACTCCTCCATTTCTGGGGGCAACACGTTTTCCACCCAGGTCCCCAGAGCTGGGTGGTTGAGTGGTGGGCAGTCAGGATCAGGTGGGAGGAAGGCAAGGCGATCAACTAGCTCCCCCTCCCACAGTGGTGGATCATGCAAGGACGAGCTCACCCAGTCACAGACCCCATTCACTGGTCAGCAGGTCCCCAGATCCTGAAGACACTAGAGGAGAGGACAGAGGCAGGTCCCTGCCCTCCTGGCCTTCCCAGGAGAAACCTGTTAGCAAGGAGGCAGGGCAAGTTCACATTGTCATAGACTCCCTGAAGGGAACGCCCTGGATGATGGGGGAGGGGAACTTCGCCTGAAAAGCTCCTCTGGGGAGCGACAGTTCAGCTGGGGAAGAGAAGAGGCCAGGCCAGGTGGGAAGGTGATTGGGTGGTGAGAAAAATGGGGACCTATGGACAGGGCTATGGCAGGTACCCCAGATGAGAAGGTGGTGGCCTGGGCAGCAGAATGGGAGAGGGATGGTGGGACTTGGGATGGGGCGGGCAGGACAAGTGTGGAGGACGCTGGGCGCCCTGGAGAGGTGAGGCTCCCGCCATTCCAAATCCTTCCTGAGAAACTCTTGTGCTCTCCCAAGTCCCCCGCCCGGCTGAACACGAGTCACAGTAGATCTGGATGCCTGGGAGTGCGAAGGGGAGGGGGAGAAGGAGCCTGGACCACAACCCCCACAAACCATTGGGGGATGAGCCCAGGGACCCCTGCCCTAGGCGTGGCATGGGAGGGGTGGTCCTGGGGTGTGGTGGGGAAGGGGTGGTCTGCAGAACCCCTGTGGCTTCTTAAGAGAAGGGTGAGTGGAGCCAGGTGTCAGGGTGGATGACCCCCTCCTGTGTCCAGGTCTCAGGATAAAAACAAACCCTGGACAAACCCCTAAGATGCCTTCCAGAGGACCGTGGGCTCCCGAGTTCAGCAAGCTGCCTGGAGTGGGCGCAGCATGGCCAGGAAGGAGCCCGAGGGGAGGTGGTGTTATTGCTGGGCCCTGAGGCTAAGTGGGGACCACCCTGCAACAGGAACAATCAGGGCAAACAGTGGCTTGACACGGTGGGAAAGGACTGGCAAGGGTAGGAACAGGTGAGTAAGGCCAAAGTGTATGGGTATCAGGGAGGCTGAGAAGGGCTTTGTAACACCTGATGATCCACTGAACTTGATCCTGAGAGAGAAATGTGGTCCAGAGCATCCCAGCATCGGCCCAGGCCATCTGCCATTCTGCTAGGGGTCTGAGGTCACCAGGGTCATGGAATGGTCAGGATCCCCCCATTACCTCCAAGAACGTTGACAGGCTGTGCTTGGGGGGACAGCTTGGGGAGTTTATTTGGCTTCATTGGATCCTGAGGCCATGGCCCCAGCCCTGGCCGGGGTAGCAGGAAGGCACCCAGAGAGCCCCGGCCCCAGATGACCCCCAGGGCAGGGGGGCCCAGGCTCTAAGGCCGGCCCCGCTCCCCTGCACCTTCCGGCTCCCCTGCACCTCCCCCGGGGGCAGTTCCCTGAGACAGGCCCTGGTCCTCCCAACCAGCTGGGTGCAGTGTCGGGCCCCAGTGGGGCGGGTGAGTTGGGGGGCCCACCGTGGCAGGTGTGTGTGGGGGCGGGGTGCAGCCCCCCATCCAGTGTGAAGGCTTCCTGTGCAGTGTAGTGTTCCGGACCCCCAGAAGGGGGCGGGGTCCCTGGGCAAAACCAAGGCACCTGGAGAGACTGGCCTGGCTCCTATTCCAGTGTATGCTGAGGCTCCTCCAGGGCAGTGGGCGTGCGGGGGAGCAGCCAGCCCGCTCAGGGCCCTGCCTCTGGCGCCCACGGGGCCTGGGCACCAACGTCTTTGGTTTGCGCCCTGCAGTCCTGAGGGCCCCCTCGGAAGGGGTTGGCAGGCGGAGAGTCCCAGAAGGGGTCTGAGTCTGGGAACAAGGTCCAGGGTGCCCGGCGGGGCGCAGGCTGTGGCGAGGGCAGGGGCGAAGGCCGTGGCCCGGCGGACACGAAGCTCCACGGGTCAATGCGGCTGCGGAGGGGTGAGGGCCGAGGTCGACTGATGAGGCCCAGAGGCGGCGAGCGCGGGGTCCCTGGGGTGCCAGGAGCAGAGCGTGATATCCCCGGCGGCGGCGAGACGGCGCTGGCTATTCGAGGAAGAGGAGGGGGCCCAGGTCAGGCAGTCACCGGCTCCTGGGTGGCCCCAGGGGGCACTGCCCTGCTCTGGGCCTGTTTCCTCCTGGCACAGTGAGCTCCGGGACTCATGACTTCCACAACACTTCCTGCTCCATGGTGCCACAACTGAGCAGTTAAGAGTGAGGAGGCCTCTGGAGCAGGCCTTGGATCAACCGAGCTCAGCAGCTTACTAGTGGGACCCTGGAGTCCTTTGACCTCTCTGTGCCGCAGAAGTTACTCAAAAAATGGGTCTAACCGGAGTGCCCAGTTCATAGCATTGTTATCGGATGAATGAAACTACCTCTCTTAAGCACTAGGAATAGTGCCTGGCCCAGGTAAACAGCCAGTAGGAGTTTGCTGGGGTGGTCCTTATTACTTCCATCATTTCACAACCGGCCTGGCCCGCCCATGGCTGAACAGAGAACTCAGTTCCCTGCAGTATCCCCATCACCCCGAGGGCGCAGCTGGAGGTCCAGCAGACAGGGGTGGCCCTGCGGGTCCCCACCAGCCCCTCCTCCCCCGTCACCAGGCAGTAGGCCACTTACCGCGCCTCTCCTCTTCGCGCCGGCGGCTCTTAGCTGAGGGCTGCCCCGCGGCGGGGACACCCAGCTCCAGCAGCAGGGGTGGCGCAGGGGCGGGCGGGCCGGAGGAGTCGGGGCTCAGCGGGGAGGCTGGAGTTTCGGGCGTCTCGGAGGAGAAGCGGATGAGCGGGGAGGGGGGCGGCTCGGCAGGGGACGGGGTGGGCAAGCGTTCGGTGAGGCCAGGCCGCCGGGGCTCCTCGGGCTCCGGGCTCGGCCGCGGGAGGTTACCTGGCAGTGGGTACACAGGTTAGGCAGACTTCGGGCAGCCCTGGAGCAAGGGTTGACTTCTGCTCCCGACTCCCCCAGTCCAAGTCCTCCCCCGGCACCCCTTTTCTGACTTTTCATTAAGTGTTGGGGGTGGAGGAGGGCAGTGCAACCTGTGAAAGCAGCAGGAGCTAAGGCAGGTGCCCTGGAGCCCACAAGAGGAGGGCTGGCTGGAGGGAAGGCCCGGGTCCACCAAGAAGCAAGTTCAAGCTAGAGCAGGGCCCGCCTCAGTGCCCTCAAGAGCAGGGGCAGATATCTGCAGGGGCCGGGGTCACAGCTGGGGCCCGTGCAGTGCCCATCTCCTCCCACTTGCCTGCTCCAGCCTCCAGTGGTGGCCTGTATAGGCACACAGGCCAATTCCAATGTACACAACAGCCCTAAAGGGACACAACACTGTCCCTATTCCAGAAATGAGGAGATGAGGCTCGGAGAGGTCAGTTGTTTGTGTCAGGCCTGAGCTGAGTGANCTTGCCTGCTCCAGCCTCCAGTGGTGGCCTGTATAGGCACACAGGCCAATTCCAATGTACACAACAGCCCTAAAGGGACACAACACTGTCCCTATTCCAGAAATGAGGAGACGAGGCTCGGAGAGGTCAGTTGTTTGTGTCAGGCCTGAGCTGAGTGATTTAGGGGGGGCATTACGTTGTCTCAGCCTCACGCCCCAGGGCTTCCCAGGCTTAGCTAAGGCTACCCTGCCCTGGATTAAAGGACATGTGTCCTAACCTGTGGACCTAGGGTTACTCTGACTCTATTCTAGACCAAATGGGTGGGTCTGGAGAACCAGGCATCGAGAAGGTAGGGCAGCCTGTGATGGCCCCCCACAAACCCCAATTTTGTCAAGTCCTCCTCAGCTCTAGAACCTGCCATGGCTCTCCACGGCTGCTAGAAGAAAGCCTAAGCTCCTTGCTTGGGCTTTCAGAGCCTCTCTGTCTTCCTTGGGCCTGCCTGGTATGGAGCAGTGGGTGGGGGGGCCAAAAGAAGAAATGCAAAGCTGGGGAAAATGTGAGCTTCTGCAGTGAACCAGGACTTTGCTTGGGGTCGGTCCTCAGCCACTACCCTTACATCATCTCTCTCTCTTTTTTGGCCCCAAGGCTTGTGTGATCTTAGTTCCCTCACCAGGGATTTAACCCGGGCCCTCAACAGTGAGAACATGGAAGTCCTTAACCACCAGAAAGCCAGGGAATTCCACCCCTGACTCCCGCCCCATCTCTCTCTTATCTCCTACCCCCCCGCCCCCACCCCAGCAGTGGCCACTGCCTTCTAAAATGCAAACCTGCTAAGGACAAGTCTCTCTTAAACTGCTCCCCACCCCCTCCACCCCCGCCCCAACTTCCAGATCCTTCCTGAACTGGCCCCAGCCTGCTGTTTCAGGCCTGTGAGTCCCTGGCTCTCAACTCCTTCAATGAATTTCAACCAGGATTCCTCTTCCTTAGGTCTGGTAAGCCCCACGGTTGCACACATACATTGTTCCCTCCACTCAGCATACCTTCCCACCTCACACTCAGTAATCACTTACTTACCATTTAAGACCCGGCTGAGAGATCACAGCTTCTATGAAGCTGTGACACTGTGGTTTATAAAAAAAGTACATATTTGGTTTTCATCTCATTCTTAGTACAAAGCTCCCCAAACCCTTGGAATTTCCATATCTGAGTTAATATTGATGTGGTCTTTTTATTTTGGTAGCCCTGTGCAGCATGAGGGATCTTGGTTCCCTGACCAGGGATCAAACTTGTAACCCCTGCGTTAGGAGCATGGAGTCTTAACCAATGGACCACCAGGGAAGTCCCTGATGCAGTCATTGTTGGAGGATGGGGTCTGCCGGGGGAACGAACTCTGTGATTAGAGGGTTGGAACTTTCAGCCTCTACCTGAATCAGGGTAGGAGAGGGGCTGGAGATTGACTCCTATCACCAATGGCCAATGATTTAATCAGTTAATCACATCCATGTAATGAAGCCTTCATAAAAACCCAGCCAAAGGGTTTGGAGAACTGGGTTGGTGAACCAGCAGAGGTGTGTGCCTAGAGGGGGCATGGAAGCTGTGTGCCCCTCCCACATACCCTGCCCTCCACACCTCTTCCATCTGGATGTCCTTGACCTGTATCCTTTATAATAATCTGGTAGTCTAGTAAGTAGATGGTTTTCCTGAGTTCTGTGAGCTCTTCAAGGAAATTATCAAATCTGAGGAGGGGGGTCATGGGAACCTCTGATGTAGAGCTGGTTGGTGAGGAGCACAGGTGATAACCTGGACTTACAACTGATGTCTGCAGTGCAGAGGAGCAATCTTGTGGGCCTGAACCCTTAACCCGTGGGCTCTGACGCTAACTCCAGGTAGACGTGTCAGAACTGGACTGGATTGTCCAGCTGGGGTCCCAGAATTGGCCATTGTGGGAAAAACTCCATATGCATGGTGTCAGTAGTGAAGCAATAGAATGGAGAGGAAAACAAGAGCTTTTTCCTCTTTTAGCAGCTTTGCCAGGGACTCCCTGGTGATCCAGTGATTAAGAATCTGCCTTCCAACGTAGGGGATGTGGGTTTGATCCCCAGCGGAGGAACTAAGATCCCACATGCTGCGGGTCAACTAAGCCTGCACACCACAATGAGAGAGGCCTGTGTGCCACAATGATGACCCAGTGCAACCAAAAAAAAGTTTAAAAAATAAAGTAGAAGCTTTGTCAGAATCCCCTGTTAACCTATGCAGTTCTTGCTCATGCTATGCCTTGTACAGTCCTTCAGCCTACCACATGCTACTCTCTACTGTACTTGTTTGTTTCTGAGTCTGCCTCCTCCACCAGACTAGGCCCGCCCAGAGGTCAAGGCACTGCTGATCTCTAGCATGATGATGCCTGGCTCATTATATGTGTCAGTACATGTTTGATGGAAGACTCCATTCTTAGAATCCCTGTGACAAGCACATAAGGTGATCGCTGTTCCCCTACTTTACAGGTGAAGAAACTGATCATTTACAGTGAGTTTAAAACAGAACAGGGGAAAAATATGTTTAAAACAAGCAAGAAAAATGGAAGAAAGTGAAGCTGGAGATCAGCACACCAACTAAGAATGGAAAGAAGTTACTGAAGTTGATATCCTGAGAAACCGAGGTTCCCAGAAGTCAGAAACTTGCCCCAGGTAACTTGGCAATGATTTTAATTTACCTCTAAATTCCCTGGCAGTAAGAGGTGACAACCCTGTTGTTACGGAGAAAGCAGAAAAACCATTCCTGACTCAGAGATGAAGGTGAAATCACTTCTACAGAGTCTCATGGAAAGGACACGGCCATGTGGTAGTTGGTGGCTCCAGGGAAAATGCTTCATGGGGCAGTTGCTGGCAGACCATGCCCACCAATCCATTACAACCGGTTCCCCAGGGGCCAGCACACCCAGACAGGGACGGGGGTGGGAGATGCGACTCCCCAGTGGTGTGGCTAATGCCTGGGACAATCTCTCAGGGACATCTTTGATTCTTAGCTAGATTTTTGACTCTCTAGGTGGTTGGGAGGTCAAGATCACTCACTTGTGAGTGGGCCAAGACAGCTGGATGAGGGCTTGCACACGTGGAAACAGATGCTAAGCCAGCAGCTGGGCTGGAACAAGTGATATCCTTTCAGGTAAGGGGGCAAGCTGGAGAAAGATGAGGTCCCTGCTCCTGGGAGCCCAGGGAAGATAAGGCCAAAGGGATCTGAAGGGATCTGTATACCATGGTCAGGGGCTGCTTCGGCCTGCACATCCAGCTTGACAGGACCTCATGTTCTCCAATGAGCCTTCTGGCCTGGGGCATTCTAGAGCAGGTGACTCCAAGCAGCCCCCTTGGCCTTCCAATTCTCAGTTCAGTCCCTGCAGCACAGCCCGCTTGAGGCAATGCAACTCCTGAAGCAAGAACTGGCATGGCAGATAGGGGTCCAGGGCCCGGCCTCTGGAGTCAGTGAAAGTTTTGCAACCCCATGGACTATACAGTCCATGGAATTCTCCAGGCAAGAATACTGGAGTCGGTAGCCTTTCCCTTCTCCAGGGGACTTCCCCAACCCAGGGATTAAACCCAGGTCTCCCGAATTGCAGGTGAATTCTTTACCAGCTGAACCACAAGGGAAGCCCTGGGCTCAAATCCCTGTTCTGCTGTGTGTCCTACTTCAAATCACTTTACCTCTCTGTGCCTCAGTTTTCTCCTCTATAAAATGGCACACAGGAGGGACCCAATAAATGTTTGCTGTTGTTATTACTGCGAATCCTAGCTTAGGTAATGGTGGAGGTGATGCATTGGGTGGGGTGAGAGGAGTGAGTCTAACTTGTTTGTTGAATAGGACTCTGGTGTGACGACAGCTAAGTCAGGTTCTATATTCTGGCTTTGAGAAGCAGGTGCAGCTGGGGGCTGTAAAGGGACCCTTGGGCAAAGGAGGCTGCAACTTTCTAGTCCCTGCCAATGCTGGGCAGTGCTGAGATGAGCCTTGCCTCTCTGACCCAGGATCCCTGCTTTCTGCTGACCCCCTAGCTTCCCAAGTAGCTTGTAGGTGAGAAACTCCTTCTTTAAGTGAAAGCTTCTGGGGAAGCTCACTATAAGCATCAGTGTCAACATTTTCCTGGGTTCAGATCCTTACCTGGGGGATTTAGGTAGATTACTTTGTCTCAGAGCCTCAGTTTTCTCATTTCTCAGATGGGTATAATAACCCCTCATGGGGTTGTTGCTTGAATGGAATACCTGATACACAGTAAGTGCTGTGGCCATTATGGAAAACAGAAGAGCCCACAACTGCCCCAGATGCAGTGATACCCACACGTTCAGCTTTCTTATCCTCTTTTCCATCTCCAAGCTCCCCAGAAAGGACTCTGAGAAGCACAGAGCGGTAGCCACTTTTCTAACTCCACCCCACATGCACAATTTCCTTCCCCTCTCTGCGTCCAGCTTCCTTTGGGTCCCCAACGGGGGGCAGTGTTCCTTGTCTTCCTTCCCTCCCTAGAGCTTGCTGAGGGCACAGCAGCTGATGCAAGCCCAGGCAAGAGCCTGCTTGCAGGCCAGCCCTGCACAATGGGACCACTCTGGGCCCCCTGAGGCCTAGGTGGGATCCCCCTCAGCTGTGGGCTTATAGGTCAGACCTGGGTTCTAGCAATGGCCTGCCTCGCCACAGTACCCACAGGAGTGCAGCAACATTTGGCTGGGGGCAGACAAGGCCACTCACCATTGAGCATTGGGGGTGTGGAAGGAGATCCTAGTGGGGATGAGTCATCTGAATCCAGGTACCACGTGGCTTCATCCATGCGGGACCTTCTCCTGGTGAGGGGGATGAGAAGGGGAGTTGTGCCTCGTGAATCTCAGGATTGTTGGGAGGCAGGAGCCACTGGGTGGGTGGCAGTCAAGCACTCACCTCCCGTTCTGGGCTTCTCCAGGCTTGGGGGAGCTGGGACCCCAGGCCCAGCATGCTCGGCGCTCTCCATTGCTTGAGTCCTCTAGACGTCTCGGGGACTGTCGGCCCCACGCCTGGCCTGGTTCTGCAGGCTCCACTGTGGTGGGTGAGGTGAGGGGGGGAACCGAAGGAGTCTGAGTCAAGATCAAAGACCCTGATCCTTGTCCTCCCATCGTAAGAAATGGGCTCCAGGGGCAACTTCTTGGAGGATGGGGAGCGGATAGTCAGGCTGGACCCCATCCCATTCCTGTGGTAAGCTTTGGGCTTACAGAGAAATCACACAGAACTGGGGTGGGGTAGGTGAGTGTGGGTCCTGGGACTGGCAGTGGGGCATCTCTAGTCCTTCAGCTGGCATTTGCTGCTTAGGAATTAGCACAGACACTGCAGCAGACTGTGTGGGTCTGAATTCTGACCCTGCCGCTTATCAGCTATGCAGTATTAGGCAGTTACTTCTTTCACTTTTCTCATCAGTAAAACCTAGGTAATAGTAAAGATATCTACCTCACAGGGTCATTGTGAGGAATTGATATTAGCAACTGTTAGTCACTCAGTCGTGTCTGACTCTTTGTGACCCCATGGTAACCCATCAGGCTCCTCTGTCCACAGGATTCTTCAGGTGAAAATACTAGAGTGGGTTGCCATTCCCTTCTCCAGGGGATCTTCCCAATTCAGGGATCGAACCTGGGCCTCCTGCATTGTGGGCAGATTCTTTTTAGGCTCTGAGCCACCAGTGACACCCTAATATTAGCAAAGCACTTAGGAAAGTGAATGGTACATAGCATCATACAATTGTTAGAAAAAAAAGTTGTAAAATGACTGCTACTTGGTGAACTTAGAGATACCAGTTTAGATGGATGGGGAGAGAGCCTGGGATCAGGGAGAAGAAGAGGAGACAGTGCGAGGGATCCACTTCCAAGGATAAGGTTTAACAAAAGGGTAAGATCTGGGGAGAAGGACGTGGACAAGAGAAGTTGCTTACACTGGATGGCCCGGAACCGGGGGAAGGTGGGAGAGTCCCCAGCCCCGACCTCGAAGACGTTCCTCCTCCTGTCCAGGCCAGGCGAGGCCTGCACGGTGATGCGGTGTTTGAAGTCTAGGGTTGTGGGGAGGGAAGCAGGGTGCAGGTTTGTGGTGAAGGAGACAGGATCCTAACTCGCAGGGCCCCTCGGCAGTGCTGGAACCCGGCCTAGCACGGCGGCTAGGTGACTGGGGCCGGCCTCACTGGCTTCCTGAGTCCCTGGCTATCGTTAAGGAAATCCCCAAACCCTGGGAGCGCCGCGAAGTAGGAGTGCCCACCCGGCGCCCTAGGCCTTCCCAGAACCTTCATGAGCCCCGCCCCTTCCCGGCCGCAGCCACTCCCAGGCCGACATGCAAATATTCCCGCCAGAACCCGCCCACAGACAAATACACACTCCTGGTCCCACCCCTTCCAGCCTCCGCTCACAGGCCCACCCACCGACACCCTAGGCCAATCCCAGCGCGGTCAGCCACCCGCCTGGTCCCGCCCCACCGCCCGCGAAGCCAATGGCGGGCGGCGCGCTGGGGCCCTGCCCCTTACCGAGTGGCATGCTGATACGCTCCCCGCCGTCGCGCGCGCGGAGTTTGCTGCGCTTGAAGGTTCCGCGTCGGCGGCGAACGTGCGGCCGCTCGCGATCGACTTGCTGCAGTAACAGCGTCAACTCTCGCTCAAACACCTCCAGCTCCCACTGAGCCAGCAGGTGCTCGCGCCGCCGCAGCTGCTCTGCTTGTGAGCGCTGCTCACGCGCCGCGCGGGTCAGCTCCTCCTCGCGGCTCAGTAGTTCCTGTGCCCAGGACAGCCAAGGCGGTGGCGTCAGGCCGGTACGGTCCCAGGCGCTCATCCCCACCCTCCGCGAGACGTCCCTTCCCGGCGTCTCCTTCCAACCCTGGGACCGCGACTCCTCCCACCTTTTCTTTGGCCCGCAGCTCGTCGAAAAGCCCTTGGATCTCGCGCTTCCAGCCTTCCTGCATGGAATGGAAGGAGTCCCGCGGCATTTCCCGTAGCACCTGCGCCTCCAGCGCCTCCAACTGCTGAAGGATGGAGGCGAAGTCGGGCCTGCGGTGGGGGTCCTGCGCCCAGCAGTCTAGGGAAACGGAGTTGGGGCGGAGGGGGGGGCGGGGAACAGGGGAAGGGGTCTGTGAATAGATATGTCCTGTTGGGTCAAGGAGCTCTACCCTTCACCCACCTGCCCCATCCCCTTACCGGCCATGAGTTGTGCGAAGGGCTCCGGGCAGGTGGATGGAATGGGCAGTGTGAGCTTGTTCACGGCCACACCATAGGCTACAGCAAGGCAGTCGATGCCACGATAGGGTACCTCCCCAGTCAGCAGTTCCCACAGCAGCACCCCAAAGCTGTGGGTGAGACAAAGGGTTTGTGTTCCCTCCTCGACTCATTCATTGCCATTTCACCCCAAAGCAACCAAGAGCTAAGTGGTCTATGTCCCTCCCCTGGCCTCTGCTTATCCATCCAGCCCTAGATTTTGGCTGCCACCTCTCCCACCCCCGCGGCCCCATATCTGTCCAGACTCCACCCAGCCGCACCTCCAGACATCGCTGCCTTTGGAGAAGGTGGAGGCCTTGATAACCTCAGGAGCCATCCAGGCATAGGTGCCTGCAGCACTCATTTGCGTGGTTTTGTGCCACTCACGGGCCAGGCCGAAGTCAGTGATCTTCAGGGTCTTGTGCTCCATGTCATCACCTTCAATAGGCTGCAGCAGCAGAACTGGGGAAGAGAGGCTGGACTGTGGTTCCAGGCTCAGGTGGTGGGGACAGGGGAGGAGCTGGGAGCAAACTGTCATCTGACAGACATCCTGGCTAGGTACTGGGGCACTGAGGTGACTTGGTCTCAACCTTGCCCTGGAGAGTTCATATCTGGGGTTGGGATAGAATGAGACAATAAACACAAGGCTGGGACATATTTATCAAGGGGCTCCTAGAGGTTAGGCATTTATACTCAGCGTTAGCGCGCGCGCGCACACACACACACACACACACACACCTGTGAGGTAAACATCATGGGATTCCCTGGTGGCTCAGTGGTAAAGAATTCACCTGCCAGTGCAGGAGACACAGGTTCGATCCCTGGGTCGGGAAGGTCCCCTGGAGAAGGAAATGGCAACCCACTCCAGTATTTCTGCCTAGAAAACCCCATGGATAGAGGACTGGTGGGCTCCAGTCCTTGGTGTTGCAGAGGGTCAGCCACGATTTAGCGACTAACAGTTCACTTCACTTCAGTAATTAGGACTCCGCACTTCCACTGCAGGGGACACAGGTTCGATCGCTGGTCAAGGAACTATGATCCCACATGCCCTTGGCTCAACCAATAAATAAATAAGTAAATTGTAAGATTTGGGAAGATTTCCCAGAGGAAGTGCCATTTAAGCTGAGACCAGAGTGAGGAGTTGGCCTCAACTAGGCGATGCTGGGGGTTCAATCCCATGAACAGAGGAGCCTGGTGGGCTCTAACCCTTGGGCTTGCAGAGGGTTAGACACGACTTAGTGACTAAACAGCAACAACAAAGACATCATTATCCTCATTTTGCAGAAGAGGAAACTGAGCAACAATTTGACTTAACCAAGGTCATAAGCAAACAAAGCAGGAATCACACACAACCTGGTATGCGTGGTTCCAAAGCCAGTGCTCTAACTTTCCCCTAACCCTGCGCAGAACAGAAATGGGCAATATGGCAGCCTCTCAGCATTCGTGACTGATATCAAAAGAAATCTGTGTGTTGCCATTTTGTTGAGGCAAGAGTGTGACTTAGAACCTCCCTGGGGGTGGGGAGCAGTAGGGAACTGTCTGGTGAGAAAGGAAGCCCAGCGGGCACTATAGACCCCTGGTGCCCATGTCCCACTGTGGCTAGCACAGCCATTTCCAGAAGAGAGAAAGACTCCAAAAGATATCCACTGATGTGGCTAGATGTGAGAGACGAAGGGGTCTAAGGGTGGTTGTTGACTAAAATGGAGTTTGGGACAAATGTAGGAGTGGATGGACACAGCAAGGCTCATGGCTTTGTCCCTCATGGGGCCACCATACCCTGGACACATAAGAAAGCCAGCAACTTGCAAATGTCTCACCAGGACAAGCATGGCTCAAAGGAGAGAGGTTTTAAAGGAAAAAAAGGAAGGCAAAGTCAGAGAATCTTTGAGGGTCTGAAGAGGACTCTACTTTTCTGGTTATAGTCAACTGTATTGTACAGAAGGGACATCGAAGCCAATGACATTTCTGAACACATATCCTTTCAGGGCACTGCTGCTGCTGCTGTGGCTGCTAAGTCGCTTCAGTCGTGTCCAACTCTGTGCGACTCCACAGACGGCAGCCCACCAGGCTCCTCCGTCCTTGGGATTCTCCAGCAAGAGCACTGGAGTGGGCTGCCATTTCAGGGCATACCTCTCAGCAGTCCTGCCCAGGGTGACAGCACCACAGAGGGGGCAGCACAGGGTACTGGGGTTGGGGCAGAGGAGACAGGCACCTCATACAGGTGAGTCAGGGAAGACTTCTCAGAGGTGGCGGCATGACCAGGATATTCACTTTTTTAGGCCTAAAGCCACAACTCCTGATCCTGCTGCTGGCCAACCTCCCTGGGCCTCATGGGGGCATCTGGCACTGCTGCTCAGCCCCTCCCTGCTGTCCTTGGCTCCCAGGGCCTCTGGCTGCTTGTGCTGTTTCCTTCAGGCCTCCCCACCCTTAGCCTTTTCAATGCCGGTGTTTCTCAGAGCCTGGCCTCCCCCTGACCTCGGCCTACTGCCTCCAGGCTGTCCTGGCCTCTCCCAGGTGCCAGCTGCCCCCTCCTCATTGGCATCTCCTGTATGTGGAGCCCTCATTCAGAAGTGGGTCCAGCTACCCAGCTGTCACCCTACCTGGTCTCCATGCCCTCAACCACCACCTACGTCCTCCCACCGTGCCTGGCAAATCTTCCTGCCCTGTCTCCAAATTCAGAGAATGGTCCTGCAACCTACCCTCTCCTCTGAGTCAAACTGGGGCTGACTCCTGAACAGTTAAAGCTGAGGATGACAACAAAAGCCAGAGGATCATCATGAATATTAAACAAGACCATGCTTTTTAAAGCTTTCACACAAGGATCTGACGGTTGTTCCAAAGATGCTACCGTGAATCTCAAGTTGACTCTCCTCTCCATCTACTACCACATCTTATTCCCAGCTTCACAACAGCCTCTGGCCTGGCTGTTGGAGTGTCAGAAAGGGACCATTTAGTAAGCCCTGTGAATATCCATTCCAAAGAACCGCAGCAGGCTGGGGCGGGTGGCTGGAGAGGGACCGGGCAAAGGGGTCCACGTGCTGGGGTTGGGGAGGGACTCCCACCTCCTCTGGTGCCAGGACCCACCCATCCTCTTGAAGACCAACCCCTGCTACTTCTCCGTCAGGTCTCTAGCCACCCGTGGTACCTCACGGACTGGTGAAGCACTTTCTGCACCAGTATCTCAAGCTGGGAGGCCAGCCTCCCTTTTGCAGTCAGGTCATCTGAAGCCCAGAGAGGGGTGGGAACACACTCAGAGTCTCAGGACTCCTCTGTACTGGTGCCTTTTCTGCCACCCCCATCCCCAGTTAACCTGACACCTGTGAGGCCTTAGCCTCCCCTCCGTGTCCCTGCTTTTCTCCAACGGCCTTGAACTTGTTCCAACCCAAGCTGCTCTTCTAGTGTCTGATATAGACCTTGATGGGGTCATCAGGGGTCACTCAGAGAAGGCTAGAGATGCCCCTCCCAGCACCCCCTTAGGGCTCCCTGGCTCTGAAAAGGGACCTGGCCCCCAGCCCCCTCCCTAGACTGCCTCTGGGGAGCCCGGGAGTGGCCTCTGTAGCTCACACCTCTTCCGCTTCCCTCCCATGGTCCCTACTTCTCCTTTCTGGGAGATCTGGCCCAGGTCTCCAATGGCGGAGGGCTGGCTGGTCAGTCCTGTGACTCGTGGGCCTGGAGAATTCCCCCTCCTCTCCCCGCCAGGCTTCCTCACAAGGCCCCCATTGTCCAGGAAAATCACGCCATTGTTTCCTGCCTGCGCCCCCCCAGCCCAGGGACTCCCCCCCCCCACAATGCCGCAGATAGCACCCCGGGCCTAGAACTGGGGTCTGTGAGGTGGGAGCCCAGGCTCAGGGAGGCTAAGGGCACTCTTCCTGCCCTTCGCCACCACCCAGACTCAGGGAGGAAAGCAGGGAACTGGGGGGAGTGGGGGTGCCATCCCTGGCTCCTTCCTCTCCCACAAACCCCCCACCCCCAACTCTTTCCTCCCCTGCAGGCAGCTGGGCTGGGGAGAGAGCAGAGACTGGAGCAGGGGCAGGAAGCCGGCTCAGGGGCAGCAGGAAACGCAGGAAGCGGTGGGGAGGGTGGGGAGCAGGGGCCTGGGCTATTGTTCCATTTTTTCTGGAAAGAAAACTGGAGGAAAAACAGAAGACTGGAGTCCCCTCCCCCCAGGCCTTCGGGGAATCCCCCTCAGGCTGGGGCAGGGAGTGAGGGTCCCTAGATGGCTGGGGCTCAGGAGTGCAGCTGAGCACTGGGACCTGCACCCTATTGTGGATGAGAGGAGTGGGTGGGGTGGCTGGCAGACCTCCTGAGGCCCCTCCAGCCCTGGAAAAGACTTGGGTATCACTGAGCCCTGGTGTTCTGCTCCCCACAAGCCTCTGATCCATGGTCAGCCCAGGCCGGGAGGCTCCAAATATCCACGCTCACCCCTCCACGGGCGACCCGTGGTTCTCCAGTGGCCCTGTCGGCCCCTCCTCTTGCTTTTCAGTCTGCACCTTGGGCCCCAGCAGGCCCACCCACATCCCTACCACCGTGATGGGTGCTGCCTCCTTGACTTTGCTCTCATCAGGCCCTGCCAGGACATCCAGCTGGGTGCCTCTCTGAACATGCCCTGCTCTGGGCCAGGTGTGAAGCTTGCCTGCTTCAGGAAGCCCTCTGAACCTGTCACTTGCTTCTTTCAGGCCCATGCTGGGCCGTGCGTAGGACCTGAAATGGCTGGAGATAGAGTGCCTCAAGTCTTCCTAGCCCTGCCACGCCCACTCCAAGTGCTGATTCCAGGCAAAGCCCTCCTGGCGATCCAGCCTTCAAACATCCACACCCATGGCTGACACCCACCGCATGCTGGGCATTGGGTGCCCAATGATTAAGCCCATTCATCCTCCCAATCACTCGCTTTTTACAGAGTGAAATCGAAGCTCTGAGCTGAAATAACCAGCTAGAGAAAGTGCAGCCAGGGAAAGGAGTAGGGTTAGAGTTCCATCCCTGGCCCCAGCTTTGACCACCACGGGGTGGGGAAGCAGGGAGGGGCTTTTCCCTTTGCGATGTCTATTCTGGAGAAGCTACCCACCACAAGTGGAGGAGAGGAGGCACCTGCAGGACAAGTGGGCACTCCCTGAAGATGAGAGGTGCCAGGATCCAGCACACCCTTCCTTGAGGTAGTGGCCATGGTTAGGCAGGTTGCTTACGGTCCTCCCGAGAGATTCCAATTTTTTAACTCGGCACCTGTGAGCTGGGGTCAAGGCTGCCTCCTGGGGCTGGGGCATAAAGGACTCTTGGGTGCCTGGGACTCTTGCTTTGGGGCTAGTGTGAGCCCAGGGGCACCCCTGGTCAACTGAGATGCTCCTAGAACAGTAGCTCCTGCCTCTAGTAGATCCCCAGGTAGGCTCAGCTGCGAGCTGGCAGTAGGTGTGCGCTCAGGCCATGCCACCCTCCAACCACGCTCCCCAAAACTCACTGTTGTTGGACTTGAGGTCTCGGTGGATGACAGGCACCAGGGCCTCGCAGTGCAGGTAGTGCATCCCACGGGCAATTTGCACAGCCCAGTTGACAAGCACATGGGGGGGCACACGCCGGCCAGCCAGGGCACGGCTGAGGGGCCCACCGGCAGCGTACTCCATCACCAGGCACAGGTTGGGCTCCTCCAGGCACACGGCCTTGAGGGCAATGATGTTGGGGTGCGCCAGCATGGCGAAAAGCCGGGCCTCCTGTCGCACACTCTCAGCTGTCACGCTGATGTCCTCGTCTGGGTCCTGGCGGGCAGCCTTCACAGCCACCAGCTCGCCCCGCCAGCTGCCCCGGTAGACCTTGCCGAAGCCACCGATGCCAATCACCTCCTCCAGCCGCAGCTCCTGGAAGCTGGCCATCTCGCAGGGGGGCGGACCGCCGCCCCGAGACACATAGTTGGACGGAAAGATGCCCACCTGGCCGCCCACCTGGCCCGCCCACCAGCCCTCATCGCCTGAGATAGCTGCATCCCGGGATAGCACCTCCACACGGTCGCCCTTCCGCAGGGCCAGCTCGTCCTGCCCGCTGGGCTCGTAGTCAAACAGGGCTGTCCACACAGGGTTAGCATAAGCTGCCGCCTTCGGGGACCCCTCTGGCCAACCTCCGCCGCCGCCCCCGCTGCCCCCACTGCCACCGCTGTTCCATGACCCCAGTGGGCTCTTGAGGAAGAGGTTCTTCAAGGGCTCCATGGCTGGGAGCTGGCGTTGGTGGGTGTGGGGGACCTTCCCTGGGTGCCCCTGGTCCCCACCCCTGCTGACCGTCGAGGCCCTAGTCCCGGAACCTGGGCATCCGGGCCCTGGCCCTCAGCCCCAGACCCACGCCTCTCTGGGGATCCAGGAGTGTCGCCTCCCGGCCCCCTGCATCTCGGGCTTCCGGAGGAAGGCCACCCAGGGCAGTGTGGTCAGGCTTGGGGGGTGGGCCCCCGGGGCCTCCGGTGTCTCACCATGGCCGGCACAGAGGGGCCCCGGCGTTCCTCAGTCTGGAGCAGTCCTGGGAGCCTGGCTCCAGCACCCCACGAAGTGTAAGGTGGGGCCAGCAAGGGGCAGCGCCTGGACTCTGGTTGGGTCTCCTTGCGAAGGGGGTGGCTGGAGTGTCTCTCGTTGGGGTTAGCTGTCTCTTCCTGGCTGGGCTCTCTCGACCCGAAGGCTCCAACCCCGTTCCCTTCTTCCTCCTCCCTTTGTACTTTGGCCCCGGGGGCGGGAGGCAGAGGTGGAGGGTGGAGTTTCACTTTTTTCCGCTGTTCTCCCTCCCGCAGGAAACAGCATCAGATGACGCGGGCGGGTAGCACCGCTCCCCTCCCAGAGGCTGCGGGGCAGCTGGGCCGGGGAGTTCCCGGGTAGGCGGGCAATGAGAGGCCGACGGAGGGGAAGGTTAGCCCCCACCTCCCATGACATCAGGTTCAGGGTCGAGTTGGTTTCTGCTAACGACGGGCCATCTCTCCCCTCTACATCCGCATCAGGAAAACTCGGGCAAAGAACCTGGCTTGGGAAGGGGACAAACCCGAGTTTGGTCTTGGCTCCGAAGCTGCAAGGCTGTGTGATCCATCTTCTCTGCGCCTCGTTCTCTTTGCATCTGAAATTGGGGCCAGAAGCTCAGCTTTGCAGACCTAGTGGGATGGGCCGTGGGGGGGGGGGGGCGGTTAAGACGAGGAGGACGGAACTGGCTGCACCTCGAGCTCTTGAAACGAGTTGTCAGGTCCTCCTTTCCCTCACCTGGGAAACCACTTATGTATTCCTCTTCCCCATGAAGGGGCGGAAACCTGAGACTGTGGTCCCGAAATGTGCGCAGTGACTGGATTCAGAATAGCCAAACCGCACTCGCAACCGCATGATTGACCCCTTGATTGCCTTGAGCCTGTCACTTTAAGACGAACGACGATATCCTACTTCGACTATTTCTGCCTTTCTGGAGGATCGCTCTCTACAATCTTAAGTGTGAGCTCTGACCCGGAAGTAGAAGCAGCTCATGACGTCTAAGGTCCCGCACTGAATAGGTTGGACCTAAAGGGGGGTGTGCCCCCGTTGCGCCGAACTGTAGCTTTAGCTCAGGCAGGTCCACGCCTCCATCCTTTTCCCCGGCTCTTGTAACTCACTGGGAGAGTTTTGCGCCAATTAATTCCGTCGTTACTCGATGGCCACTCAACTATCCCTTGGGTTCCGCCCAGTGGTCTTCGCTAGGCTGGCAACTTTCAGGTGTGCGCATGCGCCCAAGGGCTTTTGCTTTTCGGCCCGCCCCTTCCCTTAGACCCGGACTCTGCGCAAGCCCGAAGGGTTCCCTGGCTTCTTATCGCTCCACCACCTCCCTGCGCTTGCGCATTCAAGCCGCCAGGTTTTCCTTTTCCGGGTCCCAACTTGGCTCGTTGGGCGCATGCGCCACTGCAGGTTGGCGGCTCGCAGCTCCTTCTTCCGGCCTCCCCCTTGGGCCGGCTCCCGCAGAAGCGGGGCGAGCGCGGAGCCCAAAGCGAGTGACCTGTGACCCCGGAAGTGGACCTCAGGGTCCCGGGGCTTTCCCCCGGCCGGAACCGAAGGAGCCGTCGCTGCACCCCCGGAGCACCCACCCCACGCCCACCTCTGGATGCCGCCGACGGGTGCCCGGCCCGTGCCCCGCGCCTGCCTGCCGGCCCGGCCCTCGGGAGCAGTTCTGGGGCGGGGGTGGGGGCCAGGACCCCGCCTCTGATGCGGCTCCACCCCCACGCCTGGGTCTCACACCGCTGACTGCCCGGCCGGCCCCGCCCCCTGCTCGCACCCTCGCCCCTCAGACCTCTCTCCCCCGTTGGGGGGGGACCATGGCGTGAGCGCGAGGCCGGGCCCCGGGGCCCTCGGGCGCCAGGCGGGGCATGGGCCAGGGGCCGCCCCCATGAGGGTCCCGGGAGGAGGGCGCGCGCAGCAGCGGCGGGGCCATGGGGTCGCAGGTATTGCAGATCCTGCGCCAGGGGGTGTGGGCCTCGCTCACCGGCGGTTGGTTCTTCGACCCGCACCAGAGCACCTTCTCCAACTGCTTCCACCTCTATGTTTGGATCTTCCTGCTCACCTTCCCTTTCTTGCTGTACATGGTGAGACGCTATCGCCACCTGTAACTCCTGCCGGGGAAAGGGAGGGCAGATGTCACCGAGGAGTGCAAACTGACAGGGACTCCGGGCTGTGGGAAGGGGACTCACTGCAGAGTTCAGAGTGTGTAGAGGAGAGACCAGAATTTTCTGGCCAGGGTGACCTTGAGCCCCTCACTTAATCTCTGTCCAGTTAGTAGAGAAAAGATAGGGTCTTTGTACTGGTTGTATGCAGGGGCGGGGAAGTCTTCTTGTGAACTTGTGAATCCTAGCCTTGATGGCGGCGGTAGGTCCACCCTTTGTGGGAGCAGGGATCTGTGAAGAATGACCTGACTTGCTGCCACCTCCAGGTCCTGCCCCCCAGCTTGCTGGTGGCTGGTGTGTACTGCCTTGTGGTGGCTGTCATCTTCGCTACCATCAAGACTGTGAACTATCGGCTGCATGCTATGTTCGACCAGGGCGAGATTGTGGAGAAGCGCAACTCTACCATGGGGGAACCAGAGGAAGAGCCTGCCCAGGGGGACAGCAATCTGCCCAGGTGGGCGAGGCAGGGCCTGTGCTGGAAATGGAGGGTTCTTGGTGCTTGGGCCTTGGCATTGGAAGATGGAGAGGGGGCTCAGGGAACATTGCGTCCAAGAGTGGTTGAATATTCCTTGATTGGCTCTGGATTTGTCAGGGGAATCGACATGGAGGTATGAGTGATGGGGATGGTGGGAGAGGTGCTGTTTGAAGAGGGAAGGTTAGCTCGAAACTGATGTTCCTGTGCACTGCTAGAGACCCTGGAGTGGAGATGACTGTATTTCGAAAAGTGAGTTCCACGCCCCCCGTACGCTGTAGCTCTCAGCATTCCGTGTTTGGCTTCAACCAGGTCTCGGTGAGTGGTGCTGGCCCTCAGCCTCCCCTCCTCCTCTCCTGGGAACCTGTTCCCCGTGTGGGTATGTCCTGCACCTACTTTTTTGCCCTGTTGGCTCCTTCAAACGTTTCTCTTCCCCACTCAGGAGTTGCTGCCCCGGATAGAGGACTCCGGGCCCCTCCGAGGTAGGTGGCTGCTGTTGAGGGCTGAGGTGGTGGTGCAGAGCAGGGCCCAGCACGTCGATGCCTTGAGGTGCCGCTAACGCGTCTGGGGCTGTGCTTGTAGACATCAAGGAGCTGGTGCGGGAGCAGGGCAGCAACAACGTGATCGTGACCTCGGCCGATCGAGAGATGCTGAAGCTGAGCTCACAGGAGAAGCTGAGTGAGTGGTCATGACTGGCAAGGGCTTGGGGAGAAGACCAGCTGTCATGTCTTTGAATCACCCTCATCTTTGCTTCCTGGGGCTCTCTTGGTCCTCTGAGATGGGGCCTCAGTGTCCCGCCCCACTGAGCTCTCAGAACTCGGGGCCATAGGACCGTCTCAGCCATCAGTTCCTGCTAGAGAATGCCTTTCTTTAGTCCTGTGTCGCCTTCTCTTCTGACAGTTGGAGACCTTCCCCAGACGCCTCCAGGGGCTGCCCCGGACCCATCTCTCCCCAGCACGGACTCCTCAGAACGTTCTCCCCTGGCTGGAGACGGAGCCCCGTGGAGTGGCGGCAGTGTGGCTGACACTCCCATGAGCCCCCTCCTGAAGGGCAGCCTCAGCCAGGAACTTAGCAAGAGCTTCCTGACCCTAACCCGGCCTGAGCGGGCCCTGGTGAGGACCAGCAGTCGACGGGAACAGCGCCGGGGAGCGGGCGGCTACCAGCCCCTGGACCGGCGGGGCTCGGGGGACCCCACACCCCAGAAAGCTGGCTCCTCAGATTCCTGCTTCAGTGGCACTGACAGGGAGACGTTGAGCAGCTTCAAGAGTGAGAAGACCAATTCGACCCACCTAGACAGCCCCCCTGGCGGGCAAGCCCCCGAGGGCAGCGACACAGACCCCCCCTCGGAGGCAGAGCTGCCCGCCTCCCCAGATGCTGGAGTCCCCTCGGATGACACGCTCCGCTCCTTCGACACCGTTGTAGGAGCAGGGACGCCGCCTGGCCCGGCTGAGCCGCTCCTGGTCGTGCGGCCCAAGGACTTGGCGCTGCTCCGGCCCAGCAAACGGCGGCCGCCCGTGCGGAGACACTCCCCTGCCGCCGGCCGGGCCCCTCGGCGGCCGCTGCTGGAAGGCCGGGGCTTCTTCGAGGATGATGACACCAGCGAGGGCAGTGAACTGAGCCCAGCCTCCAGTCTCCGGTCCCAGCGCCGCTACAGCACCGACAGCTCCTCCTCCACTTCATGCTATTCCCCCGAGAGTTCTCGGGGGGCCGCCGGGGGAGCCCGAAAACGACGGGCCCCCCACGGGGCTGAGGAGGGGATGGCTGTGCCCCCCAAGCGGCCCTATGGGACCCAGCGGACGCCTAGTACTGCCAGCGCCAAAACGCACGCCCGCGTGCTGAGCATGGACGGGGCAGGGGGGGATGTCCTGCGGGGTCCCCTGGCTGGCTCCAAGGCTGAACTGGAGGCCCAGGCGGGGGTGGAGCTGGCTGCCGGTGAGCCCGCTGTGCTGCCCGCTGAGGCCCGCAGGGGACCTGCTGCCAACCAGCCTGGCTGGCGTGGGGAGCTGCAGGAGGAAGGTGCGGTGGGGGGAGGTGAGTGCCAGTTGGAGAGGGTGGGCTGCGGAGGGGCGGGGGTTGGGGCAAGGGGCAGCTGGAGCGGGGCCCACTCAGCCTCCGGCAGCAGGTGGATGTGGACACAGCCGTCGAGCGACGTTGTCTGCCAGGCTGAGCGTAGGGGAGGCTGAGGCAGAGACCTCAGGCACCTGGCTCCAGTCCTGAAGTTAGCACTTGAGCTTCTTCTTTTTGAGGTCTCTGTGTAGCCATGTTCATTCTTCTGGGCCACCAGCAGAGCGGAGCAGGACATGTCTTTATTCCCAGATGTGGAAACTGGCCTGAGTGGTTAGGTGACCTGGAGGGGTCACAGAGCCAGGATATGGTTGCACTAGACCTGACCTTTAGCACCACACAGGAGCACCTGCATCTCTCTGCCGGCCGCCCCCAGGCTCTGTTCGCTTCTTTGTCACTTACACTGGGGGGGCCTCTCTCTGGGCAGCTGCCGAGGAGACTGGCAAGCGGGACCGCTCAAGCAGCGTGAGGCGGGCACAGGCCATCCGGAGGCGGCACAATGCTGGCAGCAACCCCACCCCCCCGGCCTCTGTCATGGGCTCACCCCCCAGGTGAGCACCAGCTGGCTGCCTGAGGTGGGGGAGTGGGGGCCCCCTGGCTCTGAGTGCTGCTGACAGCCCATGGGCTGCCCCCTCCCCAGCAGCCTGCAGGAGGCTCAGCGGGGCCGCGCGGCCTCCCACTCCCGGGCTCTGACGCTGCCCTCGGCCCTGCACTTTGCCTCCTCGCTGCTGCTCACCCGGGCGGGCGCCAACGTGCATGAGGCCTGCACCTTTGATGACACCTCCGAGGGTGCCGTGCACTACTTCTACGACGAGAGCGGTGAGCCCCTCCTTTCGTCCAGTGGCCAAGCCTTTAGCGGGGAGCAGGACGCTCTGGCCCTGTACCAGCGCAGTCTGGGGGAGCTGCTGCTGCTGCTGGCAGGTGAGGCCCCAGCCGCACCCTCCCCACCTGCCCCCTGCCTAGGGTCATCGTCCCTGGAATTGCAGCCTTGGTGCCCCAGGGCTGGGCTGCCATCTGGAGACCCGAGCACACGGGTTTCCGCAGGGGGGTTGGGCCTCAGTGCTCCTGTCCGTGACGGGCCGCCTTGTGTCCCACACCTGTCTGTGCCCCAGGTGTGCGGCGTTCCTACACCTTTGGCCTGGCTGGAGGCGGCTATGAGAACCCTGTGGGGCAGCAGGGGGAGCAGGCAGCCAATGGAGCCTGGTGAGTCTCCAAGCTCAGGCTCTCCCAGCCTGGCGGCTGGTGAGCTGTTATTTCTGGGAAGTTTTCTCCCTTCCTTCTTTGGGCAGGAGCAGGGGTAGCTCAGACCTCCAGGAGGAGAGGAGGGTGGGTGGCAGCGAGGGGCATGGAGGGGAGAGGGGCAAGCCTGCAGGGATCCCTTGGGTCCCTGGCTCCACGGCACTTCCAAGCACGAGGTTCCAGGACCTTCTTGGAGGCCCAGGGTCTGGGAGGGAGGCCCTCTGTGACCTGTCTTCTCTCTTTTTTTTTTTTCCACTTATTTTTATTAGTTGAAGGCTAATTACTTTACAGTATTGTAGTGGGTTTTGTCATATATTGACACGAATCAGCCATGGTTTTACATGTATTCCCCATCCTGATCCCCCCTCCCACCTCTCTCTCTACCCGCTCCCTCTGGGTCTTCCCAGTGCACTAGGCCCGAGCACTTGTCTCATGCATCCAACCTGGGCTGACCTGTCTCCTCTTGACACCCCTGTGCATTGTCTGGGTACTTGAACAGCCCCCTTGGGCCCCCAGTCGTGGCCTGGCCTTGGCCTCAACCCTGTTTCATTCCTGGGCTCACCCACAGCCCTGACCCTCACCTCTGCTGTTCCCACAGGGACCGCCACTCGCATTCTTCTAGCTTCCACTCAGCTGATGT